TTGGCGTAAACACAAAACCAAAGTTATCGCAACGACCAATAAGAAAAAGGTATAAATCACAAGGTACCAGTGAGAACCCAAAGTAAATCCAGGAAATTGCCGGAAGCGCGGGCAAAAGTACTGACAAAGGTGTAATTGTTCCAAGTTTGTATCTGACAGGGTGGCGTAAGTTTTACAGAACACTCGCATGAGTCACGCGAGTAAAACCATTACAATCATGAATTACTTTCGACACACAGTTGAAAATTGTTCTTTAGAAGGAAACCTTAAGTTAATAGTGAGCTTTAGTGGACAAGATGTAGATGAACCAGAAAGGGACAATGATAACCAAGGAGAGAGGAATAAAGAAAATTTGGCATAGGTTTGTTTTGCTTTCTATTGTAAATGTTGGTTGTTTGTCCTCAGCACGTGACTGCTGGAGCTCAAGAACAACTCGAGGCAAAGGACCGACTTATTCAGAAGCTGGCAGCTAACAACAAGGAGAAAGACAATTTAATAGCGGTATGTGCTCCCCCCTTTTTTTTCGTTATTTACCCTGTTAAGATAACAAAGACGTACGTAAAAAAGCAAGAAACTAATAATAAATTGTGTGGTCACATCAGCACATGTAAGAGTGGGCTTAATCCCTCTGTAGATTTTTTTTCCCTCGGAGATTTGTATCCTCCGAAGCAAATTATTTTTCATCAAAAGCAGCAGCGGTCATCTCTCTTGTTTTCAAAATCTAATTTAGAAAGGTCAAGATGATTACAACGCTTACCTCGTGATTACCACATGTTACCATCAAGTGGTAATGAAGTGGTATAATTATTCATTTGAGGACAACAGTCAGTTTTTTTAAACTGTTGCAATACCTTGGTATACATTTATCATGATACAGAAACTTTTGATCGGGACCAGTTTCAAGGCTCTATCTTGTAACTAAAATTCTACGATTAGAGGAATTTTTAAAGCTGATTTTAAAAAAATTCCGCTGGCTTTGCCTTCCCTTTGCAATTCTACCGTACTGATTCCCCTTCCACAGTTATTGTCCTCGATTGAAATTTTTTTCTAAATAACCAGGACTTCGTAGAGGCTTTGAAGGGAAGTGGTATGGATGATTCAGTGGTCAAGGTAGGTAGTGCTGCATGATGTGTTGCTTTGTCCATCTCGACAAATGGTAATTTAGTGTTAACAACTGAGTTAAAAACGTAAATTGGCCAGCGTAAAGAGTTAAAAGGCGGACGTTTCGAGCGTTAGCCCTTCGTCAGAGCGATTGGACAAATGTTTGCTTAATATCTCCAGTGGTAAACCATCCTTGGTTCTTTTTTATCTATTGTCACCTTTCTGGCCTTTGTCTTTGAAGTCTTATTTTACATACAGACAAATTTTGAGGACGCAAAGAATGACTTGTAATAACGTGGTATAGATCTTGAATCTTAAAAGTCGTTGTTTGTTTGTTTATAATGTTTGTTTGTTTATAATGTTTGTTTGTTTATAAGGTTAAGAAATTAAAAGGTGAATGGTAAAAACCTGGTCACCTGTCTCTGCCAGAGTTCCCACCCCCTGCCTCTAATTTTGTCGCCAAGGAGTAGTAAGATATGAGAGCATTTTTCCAAGGCTTGAATATTTCTTATTATTCAAAAATATTCCTTCAGCTTCTATCCTGGCAAATGGTTTCCCAGCTACTCAGAGCAAATCACATTTTTTACTCATTTTGCAGGGCTCAACTGATGATCAGGAGAATCTTTTGAAGAAACTGACCAACTACACCAAAGAGAAGGATCGTGCTCTCCAGGTTGGTTATACACAACTAAATTGACATTTATAAAGGGGCTAAGGTTTTAAGGAAACTGTGGTACTGCATCAGTGGGAGATTATAACATGGTAATTTGGAATTAACAACTGAGTTGTTAACGTAAACTGACCCCTGTAAAGAGCTTTGAAACTCTTTACGGTAGCCAATTTACGTTATCGACTTAGTTGATAATTCCGAGTTACCCTGTTAAAGTAAGATTGAGTAGTGTTTTATGTTCATTTTAACTCACAACTTAAATTTTTGCAACAACAGGAAACTAAGAGTCATGACCCTTTATGACTAATATTGTCTTAAAATGAATGGAAAAGGGAAATCAAACAAACTTTTCTTCGTGGTTAAGACTCGTTTCGTTTGACTTTTCATTTCCAAAACCCCGTTGGAAAAGGCTGGTCCCACTTATTTGAGCCCAGGGACGTCTGCTTATCAGAGCACTGCTTCACAGCCTAAGACATTGGTACATATTCCTATCTGCTGATATCACGCGCCAAAGAGGCTGTGTTCTAAATTTTCTGTGGAAAGTTTTTCTTTACTGCAGTTTTCGATCAGTCTAGAAAACTTGAGTCGCTTTCTAAACCAATCAGATGTTGAGCTTAAACCAACTGTGTCCTGACCACTCACATTTTCCCGCTCTTGAGCACGATTACTTGTGTTCATTTTGAGATTTCATTGATTCCTTTTGAAATTTTCCCGTCTTTCAATTGCCCATTGTAGTCGACTTTGGGTTGGGGTTTGTGACACTTCATCAAAAAGCGCTCTATTGGGCCACTTGAATCTCTTTTTTTATTGCATGCGCGACTTTAAATTCATCATCGAGAGTTGCGCCTTAAAAAACACTAAGTGGAAACATCGTTTCGATTTTCTTGTCGCTAATTCCTCATTTGCCCAGTTCAGTAAAATACAAACAAAGCTGCGACCGTCTAGGTATGTACATGTGCGTTGCATTTTGGCACAAAAATCATCAAATTAATGTTTTTTATTTTCCTGATCATAATTGCAGGTTGCAGCTGAAGAAAAAGTGCGCGCTTTGCAAGGAAAGGAAGGCGAGCTACAGCAGTTAAGACAGGCCCTGAGAGAGAGAGACAGGCTGATTGAAAAAATCAACACCGCTGTCCTTGAATCCCAAGAAAAGAATAAAGTAAGTGAACTACAAATGTGACAATTTAACTTTCTTACTGGTATTCCATACGTTTTCATAAAAATCAGTGAACTCGATTTTTATGATTTTTTGGCACCTAATTACAGTAATGCTGTCATTGTTAAAAAGGGAAAGGGAAAAAACAAATTAGAAAAGTTAGTAGCATATAGCATAAACATACGTTATTGGCGTATATTAATTTTCTTAAAAACTTTTGGAATCCTTTGAAGTTGTAAACAACATCTTATACTAGAAGGTGATTCCACATGGCAATAAATCTCTCTTTAGCTTTTTACCTTTTTTTCATGACAATGTTATTTAGTGCAGTAAGGTGTATGTTGGGCCTAGACGAGATGACTTTGTCACAGCCATTGAAGTGTCTTCTGGTGACTAGAATTATTAACTACTGTAAGACTGTCTTTTCACGCTTGTGTATTTGTCCAGCTATTAGAACGGACAAGCAAAGAAAGAAATGAAGCTTTACAAAAAAAGTTGTCGTCCTTCGAGGATCAGCTTAAAGGAAAAAAGGTAGTTACATTAGGCTGAGGTATAAAAACATGGTTTAACTCCCAAGATCTGATTGTTAATTCTCTCCTTTATTTGCTACTCATTTTCATGTACATTAGTTATGATAATTTGGTGTTAGATCAAGATAAAACCTTATACCTGATAAGTTTGAATATTCTCATTACCTGCTTTCTGGATAATGTATGGTTATTATAGGGAGATGTTACATGTTAATCCTCTCTGGAGTCAAAGGGTTAATGATTTATTCCAAAGTACCATTGGTAGTGGAAATATCTTAGGTAATCAGCTACACAATCTGTCTGCAGACACCAAGATTGAATTTTTAATTGTTTAAGGAAATGCTAAGTCATAATACAGAAAGACGAAAATTGGCAAAGGATGGGAAAAGTGCAAAAAGAGTGGCAGATATTTAAATAAGATGTCGCACAATTGTACCCAGTGCTGGCCTAAGTGACTTGAGTATGTTTTTAGAAATGGCTTCCTTCTTCAGCCGGACGTGTTGTTTTCTTTTGTAACAGGGAGATCTAGAAACAAAAGAAGCCAGTTTGCAAGAGAAAGAACTTGTTATTCAGAAACTAAAGCACAGTCTGAACCACAGGGAAGAGGAATTGAAGGTCAGTGTTGTTCCTGTTTGACTTAGGGAAATCTCAGAGGCGATACTTATTCGGAATTCTGCTAACTCCCGCGAGATTCAATTGCATGTAAGGTCAATCGGAAATTACAGCTGGCCGGGGAATTATTCGAGCCAGTATCTTATCATTGTTACATGTCCCCCAGCTCCCCAAGTTCCTCCTTTGCTCTCGGTAAGTGATTTAACAACTTCCATAGAGTTAAATTTTGCTAAGCTCCTCATTCCCAGAAATTATTCCTCACGTTTCCTCGAACATTCGAGAAAACTCTTCAAGAATTTTACCAGAATTTCTTTCGGAAAAAAAAAATGAGGCCTCGGTTCGCTTGCGATCAGGTCGCAGTCAACTGATAGAGACCAGAGAAGTAGAAAAAAAATTGTCGCCATGCGAGGTAATAATGAAAGATCTACTAGTGGAATATTCTTCAGTGCTAGAATATAAATTTCTCCCTTGACCCATTAAGTAAATGGCCATTCATCTTTCTTCTCCTCGAATCACCCCGAGGTCTTCTTTCGCGGTTTCTGGAAACTGTCTTAAGTTTGTATTTCTGATATCTCTTTTGCTCATAGGAATTGAAGGACTTTGTAAAGAACGCTTTGAGCAGTCCAGACGAGGTTTGTGGTTGTAATAACTGTCTATGCTGAACTTTCTTGCTTTTAGTTTTTAACCCCAACCCGAGGGTAACTATGCTTAAATTTCTCTTCTTTGTGTCAATACATGTAAATAACGGCCTTGTTGTGCGAGCAGTAACTATTACGTAGTGCAAAGACTACAGGAAGTATCGTGCATAGTATGACTTTATTTTCACCCTTGTATCTTATAGGATGAAAGTTTAAGTGATGAGGCAAAGAAGGCCCAGGAAATATCGGAATTGTTGAAAGAAAAGGAAAAACTTTTGGAGGTAAATAACCCTTAAGTGTGTTATAGGATATTTCATCACAGTGACGTTATCTTGAGCCGTTTTTCTCAGCTGGGTCAGTGAAAGCCTTTGTTGATCCGAATAGCTAACAAGAATAATTTTCTTGGGTAGATAGACACGAAACTGGTAGAAATAAGCCAAAAATGAACAGACATGGTCAGGAATGGAGATGGTTAACACGGATTAAGATTGACTATCCTTAGGGAGGATTTACACCCAAATAACTTAACCATAAGAGACTCGTCATGGTGACGAGGTTATTGAATTATGTTTATGTGGCAAACTTGACTGGGACACAAGGACTAAAAGTATCTCTTAATGTACGTTATTGTGCTTTGTTTGGTTTTGTCAGGAAATGTTCCATGAGCGTGCTAGGTTATCATCTACTAATGAAGCCAACACTCAAAGACTCATGGCAGCTCTTAAAGACAAGGAGACTGCACTTAAGGTTAGAATCCGATCGAAAACTTCATGTAAAATTATTTGGATGGTCATGAGCTTTTACCTCTTGTGGAGACTTCTCCATGAAGTTTTGAGACGCCTCTAACCAGTCTAAACTGAACATTTTGATTCTAATTAAAATCATCCGTGCACAATATATCGTATAGACCCTAATCACAGTCATCCTATTGTGTCTGCGTTGGTAAATGAAAATATAATAGAAAGTGGATTTTAGCCGCGGCACTTATACGAGGTTGGCTTTTCGTCCACTGTTCTCCATGCTTAATAGGAATTCATGTAATTTGTTTTTGTGGGGTAAGGAGAAGCGGAGAACTCACAGGAAACCTCCTAGCAAGAGACAAGGGAACAAGAACGAGAAATAATGACAAAATAATAATTCCAACTAAAGCTTTGCTTTGACTCTGTATTTGAAAATGGCCTGAAAATGTCGCCAAGTGCTCGCTTCTCTTAGGTCAGAATGCCTAGAATAGTCACCTACAATGAATCGAAAAAGTATACTACTCGTACATACCAGGTTTTAACCCTTTACTCCCTAACATCAGTATGAATATTCTCCATACCACTTCCTAGACATTACCTCTGGTTCTAACAAAGAGAATTTGTTCAACAATCAAGAGTTTCTTTAGTTGGTGATCATCTCTTTTATTCTCATGACCTTATTGTTTGATTCAGGGCTGGTGTTGTAAGGAGAATTTAGATGTTAGTCGTTCTTAGGGCTTAAAGGGTTAATAAGCACCTGCCAAAATGTTATCTCTGTAGGAGGCTGCTGCTGACTTAACACGTGTACAAACTGAAAAGAACTCCACCATCCAGACACTACAGCAATTACTTAGCAACAAAGAACACGAAGTACAGGTAAGACAGAAATTGAGCACAAAAAAAAAAAAATTAAAGAAAAGTGCCTGAAAACACGACACTTTGTCCCGGCCAAGGTTTATTACGAGACGTCAAGGCTACCTGGTCCTCTCTTCTCAACTTTGCCACCAGTTTATGTGAACTTTCTTCTTTATTTTTCTCTCTCTTTTCCTGTAGGCCTTAGAAAACAGCAAAGCCTGGGCGTCCCAGGAAAATGATAAGTTAATTAACAAATTAAGGCTGACCATACAAGACAAAGACAAGACTATCGCAGTGAGTCGTCTCGTGATATGCTATTATTATTAAAAATATACGAGTGTCGATGTTTTGTGTCAAAAATTAATTCTTCTTGATTGTGTGATGTTGCTGAAAATGCTCAAAGTTATCCCCTTTATTTTTCCCTCATCAGGGTCTTGTGGAAAGTGGACGAGAGAAAGATAAGATGTTGAAAGTGTTACAGGTAAATTTAGCTTTGTTCCCATTAGTTCATTTGCAGCTGTTTAAGTTAACGAAACCACTTGTGTCGCCAAGGTTTGATAAAGAATGATGAAGTGTCCGTCTTCGGAGATAGTTTTTGCCGCTTTCTTAAGTCGAATATCTAACCAAGATTTTTACTGTTTTGATAGGAGTCCAGTAAAAGCACACCAAAGGCCCCCAGCCCTGCCGAAGTGGTAAGATTCCTTGTTAGTGTTTACCAGGTGTTAAACCAATAAGATGATAATCATCTTTTTTTGTTCATTTGAAGGCGGAACTAAGGCGAAATATTGGTCTATTACAGGCTGAAGTGCAAAAGAAAGATGGTATGTTGCAATTTCCGCCCATTTTTAATTGTTTTGAGTGTGTTGTTTCTGATGGTTTACATTGCTCTGTTAAGATAAGAGACCTAGACTGTTAGTAGTCAGCTTTTCTCTCCATGAAGAGCGGGAGCTATCCTCTCTTGCAAACTTTAGGCGAGAAGAGGTTGGGACAAGACCCCGACTACACAGGGTCGTGGGTCGGGTGATAACAGACCAGCGAATACCGGATTAACCCCTAAATGTTTCAAAACAAGCTTTGAGCTTATAAAATTTACAATTTCCTTCATAGCATTAGTAGTTATTACACGCCAAATTTGTACTTATTTTACCTCAAATCCTCCACAGAGGACCTGGTTACGATATTTTTATTCGGTACTGGTTGTATTTATTTTACTTTGTTTCAGAATTGAGCTACACTTTTTCGACATAGCCTTTTTCTCTCTAAAGCGATTCTGTTTTTGCGGTGTTATGTGTGTTGGTTTTATCTTTCGTTGCATTGTTTTCCTATTTAGAATCTCTGAGGAAGCTTGAGTCGGATTACAGAAACAACTTGCGGAAACTTCAAGGCGATGATCAAGAGGTAGATGATCTGTACAGATCATTGTGTTTTAACTTGTTTACCGGGGGTTTTAACCTTCATTCGTGTTTTTTGCTGTTGGTTTGAAAGCTCAATAAAGCTGTCGCCAGAGCCAGTGGTAGAGCCGGAGATTTCCAATGAATCAATCAAATTTGGGGGGAAAATATTAGAGAACTTTTTCTCGATCGGTTGTTGTAAAACCAGAACTAAATAATGGCCAATCAGGAGAAGGAAAATATCAAAAGGAAACAATCGGAATAAATAAAAATGCCTCAAGGTCGGGAAAATTTGAGTGAACAAGTTGCGTTTTGTATCTGGTCGAATAAAGAGGTGATGTGATTGGTTAAACGGTTATAGAACCTTTTTAGAATTTTGCTTGCTCTGTTCTCTAACTGTTGAGGTGTGTGTTTCTCTTTCAGAACAAGTTGAAGTTTGAGAATCTCCAGCATGAAATACAGACAAGAGATGCACTCTTAAAACAAGCAAAGTACGTGGTATTCCTAACTTATATATTAGAGATAGACAATTCCTCTCTTGTCTCTTGAGTTTGAGGATGAACTTGCAGAGAGTTTTTTGAGTGGTCAGTCACCGGCAACAGCCCGGTAATATCGACGTTTACTCCCGAGTTCAAATCATTATTGTAATTGGCAATGTTTTAGACATCTATTGTTAAGCAATGGTTTATGAAGAAAATCCAACTTCTTTTCAGAGATGCTGGAAAGGGTGTATACTCGGTTCTTGTTCCATCTGAAGTGACGCGAACTACAACTTCCTGATCATTTATTTAGATCAAGGAGACGTATTTTCCCACCCACTTCGCTTTACTCCTGGTTTCAGAGACAAGCTTATTGGCCTGTTATACCGATGCTCTAGTTAGATAGAGTCACTAATAGGCATTTCATTTCAGGGGTACAATCGATAATCTTCGTTCCAGACTACAGAGCATCCCTAATTTAGAGGTTAGCCCAAAAAAAAATATTATTTGACTAAATTGTTACACTTGGTTTGGCAAAGTGAAACAGTTAGACAATAGTTTTCTTTCCTCTTTCTTTTTTACCTTAGGATCTAAAGCAAAAGTTTGTAGAGCAGTCGCAGGTACGTGTACACAGTGTGGCCTTTATTTCTGTTCATTTTATATCCGTCCTACTACACATCGTTGTGATGCACTGTTTTCTTTTCATTTAAGGCCTTGGCTGAGGCTCAAAAAGGGAAAGAGCAAGCACTCGTTGATTCAGTGAGTTTTTCCAAAGAGTATGACGCCGTTGAAAATGATCATTGTTAACTTACTGGATGTGAAAGCAAATGTTCTCAAGGGAACGAGGAATCAGGGTTTACAAAACGTGCTTCATGTTCAACATGTTCAACTTCTTTTTTGATTTGTTGAAGTATTGATGCTGTTTCGTCAGCAGTGCTGGTGCCTTCATTTCCTATCTTGTTTACAGGCCGCACTCAAGAAATCTAACTTGGAACTAGAAGCGGAACTGAAAGTTAAACTGAACAACATTGAAATGCTTAATGAGGCTGCGCAGATGAAGGACCGAATTATTAAGGTACTCAATGGGCTCATACTACACCTGTTTTGTGTTGGCCTAGCTTTTATTCGCTAGGTGATTGGCTAAGAAAATTCGCGCCCCCCCTCCTAATCAATCATTATCCTTTTTGACCATTTTGGAACGGGTGTCGTAACTTTACAATGAGCCAATGATAGGTCACTGTGAAAGGAAATAAAGGAAATCCCATGACTAAGTCGCGCTTAGTTTTCGATTTGCATGTGGCGGAATGAGATGGTGGTGCGAGGATACTAGATCAATCATAACGTTAAGTAAGCCAACGCCAATGCAATCCTGAACTCATTTTTATTAACATAAACTGTGATGTTTTACAAGGGTTTTCAGCCCTGAGAAAAGCTTCATCTGCACTCGTATATCGTACGATAATTTTTTTTTAAAGTATGTTTGATATCGTTAATCAACTGCCGACACGTCACTCGCCTTTCATTTAACTTTCTCAGGTTGATCTGGAATTTCTCTTCTCGAGTTAAACTCAGTCGAGTTGAACGCTCGAAGGGAAATTCCTTATCTACGCGCGCCCAAGTACTATTTTAAATGTAAATTACTCTTTCTCTGAAACTCCCTCAAACACCTAAGAAAACGTCGTAGAATTTAGCTTAGCAATAAATAAGACTTCAGTGTTGCATGGGAAGATCAATTTGAGTGGACTGCACTTAAAGAGTATCAACCACGTAATCTCTCTCTTTGATCGAAGCGTAAGACTTCACAGCAGATATGTTTGCCTTAGTTATGTGGCTATGGTAGTCTATCCTGGCCATAGATTAGCATTCATTCTTTCGGCTGGTTTTAGGGTGTTTTTCTACCGTTTTCTACACAGACTAATCAGAATTTGGCATTTTTAGGTTCCTGTCCGAAATCTTGTTTTGATTTCACGCGAACGACCTTTTATGCTGGAAGATTAAACTACTCTTTTGTATCCGCAGGAGATGCAAGAAGATCAACAGAAGCAATTAAAAGACATGAAAGAGAATATTGGATATTATCATAAGAAAGCTCAAGAACTTGAGGTACTCATAAAGCTCTCTGTCTAAGGGAAGATTTCGCTCTGAGCAATACAAGTCTCTTAAGTATGGAACAACAACACAGAGGTTCAACTAAGTAGGGATCTTAAGGAACGCACTTTTAACCTACCCCTCCTTGCTAAGACAATATTATAATTTATAATGAATTAGCCAGGATTATACTGATGTGGGACCTTACGGGTGGGTCCTGTTAACGCTCTTCAGCGGAGTATCCGTCAGGATGATTAGAAGTCCTATGTCCCTGAATGGTGTGAAAACAAAAGATTCATTTTGGTCTGACGTGAACACAATATTTCCAGGCCTCAAATAATTCGCTACGGCATCAGCTTATGGAGACAGAGGACCTGAAGAATTCGCTCGAGCAGCAACTCCAAAGCTACAAGCAAAGGTTAAATAATCAGGTGACAGAAATTTATAATTTTAAAGGATACCTTACTCGACCATACGGGAGCTAGTACTGATATAATTTATTCATCGTGAAAAATTCGCTATCCTTGACCTCTGCTTTTCCCGTTTTGTTTTTTTTTCGGTGATTTACACTATTTTTCACATTTCATATCGAGGTTGTAATCCATTTCTTAGCAACTGCACGCGCTGTTTTAGCAATAGAAGTGTAGCGAGCTTACTCAGCTTGCTAAAATGCATAGCCTTTTAGTTGCCAAAATGTATTGATATTTATCGCCATTTGCTCGTAACTTTGTGGACCATTGAAATGAGACATATATTTTTTTGAATTAAGTAATTAAATGTGTTGATGACTTCTGAGTGGTCACGAACCGACTTGTTTATTTCCGCGTGCGCCAGTCTTGACACTGTGCGTTGTTTTAAATTTTTACCTGAACTCTTCAAACATACAGAGCAATAATAAAGATCTTGTTGCGCCCCTACAATGTCCATATGGGCAGAGTAAACAAGTTTACAAGTTTCTGTGTTACTGTGTTGAAATATATGGTGATAAAATATTTGTCCCTGTGTTAAACTCCAACTGCCGTTACCAGGCTTCTTACGAGGAGGAAGAAGTAAACCTTTTACGTCAAGAGGTCAGCAACCTTAAGGCCAGGCTACAAAGGACTGGTACGCCACACAGGGAAAGTCCTGGAGTGGGAGCGGGGGCCGATGAACAGGTAATTAAATTTGATCATCGAGTCTGTGCTCGAATTTAACATTCTTGCGGGATCTTTGGCTGGATAGGTGTTTTCAACAGCAAGTTTTCCTCCGCAGAAGAAGAATATGAATTAGATGAAGAATATGATTGACATCTTATTCTTTTTCAAGTCCTCTTTCTCTTAACCTGCCATGCCAGTCTTTAAAATGATAACTCGTCTCGTATTATTTGTCCTAGCAACTTGCCTCCAGCAAAACTTCAAGCCCCCATCCGGCATCTCCGTATGACGCCGCTTATCAGAGAGAGATACAAGAACTCAAATCGAGGCTTGAAGATAGTGAACGGTGGAATGCTTCATTGCAGGCTCGGTTGAATGAATTACAGCCGCGGGTCAGTGGTTTTGGGGGCTCAAGTGGAGACAGTTTACCCTCAAAGGTTCAACGATTAGAGCAGGTAACCGTCGTCATGGGTCTCGCGTACTCCTGTAGTATTTATTTCCAGAAACTGTTAATTTTTTTATCGTTTTTTTTTTTAAAGAATTTTCCTGGGTGGTTAGTTCGGTTATCTGAACTGTTATGTCAAGATGTCAATACTTTGGAGCCGATTGTTCATATTTTTAACAACGAAATACACCAAATAATCGCTATCGGATGGATAGCATAGTTTACAAAAGTTAATCAGCGGAAACTGGAACCACCTCTGTAGAGCGTTTTTCGTTCTTTTGATAACCGGACCTAAAAGGGAAATAGTTGCTGGTGAACCAGGACAACGCAGATCTTGGTAGAGACCATAAACCTGTAATAAAACTGGTATTCACATCCACTGAAACTAGATACAGATGCTGGGTAAACGAGGTTTCTCGTGGATTTCGGGGAAGGTGGGGTAACTTGTAAGCTATTAGCCTCCGAGTATATATATTTTTTCTCTTCGATTACATAACATTACATAAATTTGTTGTACCTACGATTATGGCTCTAAGCCAATCTTTTAGAGGTAAGAAGAATTTTTCGCAAACAAACCTTTTGTTAGATTGTTTTTTCAGTATGTTCCGTCTTTTTTCCCCTTTTGCAGCAAGTGGAAAAATTGAAGGAACAACTCAAACAGAGCGGCCAGCTGAATGTTGGGCTCAAGAATCAACTGGATGATAGTAATTCGTTACACATGCAGACTTTGGCTAAAAAAGACGATCAGATAACAGATTTGACTCGACAGATTGATAGTCTTCAAACGCAGTTAGACAACACGAGACAAACGTTCAGCGAGTTGGAGAGAAGATTACAAGATGCAAACAGCAGACTAGAATATTATGCTACCAGTTTGAACGGTAGCCATGACGATACCCTGCTTGAGCGGGAACAAGAATTGGAAATTTTAAAACACGAGTTAGACGAGTTGCGTCGGATTCAAGCTCGTAACGATCGGAACGGTTCGGATATGGCCGCGCAGACGTCGCCTTTAAAGGACTGGACTCAAGGGTCAAGTGATAAGTTGAGGGACCTGGAACGCAGATTAGAAGAGAGTGCGCAAACGAACGTGCAGTACAAGAATATTTTGGAAGAGAAGGAATTGGAATTGCAACAGCTTAAAGCGATGGTAAGTAAATTTACACTCTCTCACATTTTCAAAGCGTTTTGCCGTCAGAAGTCGTATTCGTCAATGCAGTGCTACTGGTTTGTTAGTTTAATCACGCTGCACCATCTACGAAACTCATAACCTACTTTAGACGATCCAAACGCGGTTTCCATGCTTGAGAATCCTGTTAACGTTAAAGCAGATGTTCGTGCGAAAATACTGTACTATTCTTAACATACAAAATTGTGTCCTGTGGCTCGAACGTTCGCTCGAGCAATTAAAAGTTTTAGTTGCCGACAAACGGCTGACGAGAAATCTGGTCGTCCAAATCCTTTTATGAGGGAGAGAAAGCAGTCGGATGGCGACACCGAGAAAACATTTAAAAAAAGATTGAAGTAACATTAGTCAAGTACGTGTGTTGAATCAGAATATAGTAAGAGTCGCTCGAGTGGTTCCATGTTTAAGTCGTCTTAAACCGTGTCATACTTCCTCTACGACGAAGAATGTGAAGGAGTCGTTAGGTTCCAAGAAGAAACGGAAAAATTAGCCGGCAAGACTTGTGTAGTCAGACTACGCAAAATTTGATAATTTTACGTTGTTGGTTTGCAGCAGACGACTGAGACATTTGAGAAGTTTTAAATGGCATGCGCAGAGCTATTGTTTGCTCATTAAACGTTTTACTTATCCGTGGTCTCGTCGCGTTGGGTTCTGTTTGCTCAAATGCCTCTGCTTTCAGTGGTCTGAGTTTTGAAAAAATCACGTGCAACAAGGGACCCACAGAGGAAACTGTTTTGCATAATTGGTCAAAGGTGTGGTTTTAAATAGCTTTTGAAGGAATTGGTCTTGCAACTGAATTTGAAATCTGGAGGTCTGCAAGTCAGTTTTTTTCCCTCCGTCACTTACTGAATTTGTCTCTTGTTCACCACGAGTTCAACCTCTCCTGTAATTTGTAAATAGCTAACCTGTTTGCCTCCCACATAAGAGGATACATGAAAATATGTCCTCTTTACATTATTAGTTTGTGTATTTACGTTGTTTACAAATAGTACAGGAGTCTTGAGCACATTGAGTGTAACAGCCGTCAATTTCGTGTCAATTCCACGTTTTATTCGATCCGATCAACTACGCTCAGCACACTGTTCGAATATAATACCGAATGAGAAATCCTTAAAAATAAGCAAGTGTCCTTATCTGTAACCTTAAAAATTGCTGCAATAATCGTATTGGCACCGTAATGTTTCTTACCTGCGATGTGAGTCTTGTGAAACGATCCTCATCCGAAAAAATAAAGACGAAAATAACAAGCGATAAAAACGCAAGTGCGCCGAGGTTTGAACTAGCCTCAAATGACGAAACCTTGGCAGAGACTGGGCCTAGTGCACAGGAAACCAAACATTTACATCGAGATATGAAGATATGAGATACGAGCGTCCATTGAGATGAGCACTTTGGAAATTTTGGGAGTATGAAAGATGCTTAAGAGTTGTTCGCGACGTATACGACAAACGACTCTAAACCCTTGAATGGTCTCCAAACTCTCTTAGTTTTTCTTATCTCAATAAATGCACAGCTGACTAAGAAAAAAATTGTTTTATAACATTTTTAATATTGTATTTCAGATGTTTTATGTAAAGTGAAGTTTCCTCTGCGGCGCTTCCTAAGCGTGCCCAAATGGAATACGAATATGTTCTCACCTCCAACGCTTAAGCGCATATTTTGCATTTGATCGGCGCTTAACACACTTTTCTCGTAATTTTCGTCAAGCTACTTTAGTATGATGTTTGCCCATTTCAATACCTGAGTAAAGAACCATCCTCTTCATATTTTTTCCGTTTTACAGGAGGCATCAAGAGATAAAGAAAAGTCTAAAGCGAATGATCGAGAGATGGCTGAAATCGAAAGACTCCGCGAGGAATATGTAACAGGTATCAAAACAAACGAAGAACTTAAAAAGGCTCTTGAAAGTGAACGGGGAAAGAACCGTGACAGATCAAGGGCTTCGGATGGAGTCCTGGAACTTCGGCTACAGCTTGACGAATCCTTACAGAAGAACGAAGACCTTCAGCGACAGCTTCACGAGAGCGCCCGATCCGAGGACGAAGTTAACCGACTGAGGCACGATCTACAAAATGCTACCCAAATGAATGAATCGTTAGGATCGCAGATACGGGAATTCAACGAATCTTTTTCCAAAATAAAAGGGGTTAGGGCAGATGCAGTAAAAATGCAGAAAGAACTGAAAGATGCTCAACGTTTGAATAGAACACTCACAGATCAGCTCAAAGAGACGAGGAAATCTGCGGAGGAAGTTGGAAGAGTACAGCGTGAGCTTAGGGAGGCTAAAATGATGAATGATCAGCTTGGGAAACAGCTGTCTGAGCTCCTGAATCACTCGGCGAAGATGAAAACCCAAATTGAAAAGTGAGAATATTTTTCTTCGTTTGTCCATGTTACAATTATTAGTTGAGTAAGATGCGGGAAAAAGTTTGGTGATGGGGTTTTGACCGTAAACTAACGGTGTTGTTACGGGCAACCTTCCTCGGTTTCAGTGGTAACCGAATCTCAAGAGCCGTGCGTCACCAAACTTAAAGGCGCGTCGCCAGTGGTAACGAAGCCATTTTGTCGTGACAACACGATTTTAACGTCAAAAGATTTTCACTGCACTTCCGTCGCGCTTCACTCGACTAATAGTAACTGTAGGTTACAACAGAAAGTGGTAATAGAAAATTTTACTCATTAACTCCTCAATCTAAAAGTGATATCGACGAACTGACTTTTCTTCTTGTGCTAAGGATTTGGTGCGAATCTTTTCAATGTTTCCCCCAACTGACACGTTAAATATTTTCCATCTGTTTGGTTGACTGACTGAAATGACCACACTCCGTGTCTCTTCGACCTTTGTTACTATAAATAGCATTTCATTACAGTGTTCAGTTTATTGAATGAATATAAAGTGCTAATGTAGTAAATGTTAACAACACAACTGAACAGGCATGACGCGCGCATGACGTTTATCAACACCTTTTTTATTTTTAGATTGCAGCACGAATTGCAAGAGAAAGACAAGGTTATTGAGACATTACAGCTGAGACTTCAGTCCAAAGCTGACATGCAGTCCATAGCGCTGTCTCCATTTTCGTCGCCGTCCAGACGTTTTGTAGAAACGCAAACCAGTCCGGCGGCTTCACCTCAGGTAAATGGAGAAACAGGTCAACTGATTAGACGGTCACCGAGCTAGTTGTCCAACACTCGCCCCTTTCCTCTCCCTATGTGGTGCTTCCAGTTATCGCTTGGGTTTCCCACTAGGTCGGGGCGATGTGATGAGAGACACCTGCTCTTTTTCTGATCATCCTGGATACAACTCAAATTTGAATTTTCTACAATTAAAAGCATTTAAGTTTTTTTGTCTCATTTTTTTCACTTAAACTATACCTAAATGAACCTTCAGTCAAGTATATTATGTTACACCTTTTGAGCGCTAGAATTTTTGCATGTAGTGGGAACCTTCATGCAAGGGAGACCTGCAGGTATAGATAAATTTTCCGCTCGATTGGTGTCCCTTCAATGAAAGTGTCAGATACAAAGCTTGTAGGAGTATTTGCTCAGAGTGGACCAAAGCTTGTGTGTTTAAATGCAGTTTTTCTCGGAATGTAGGGGTACCAGAAGAACGGTTCCACAGTATTTGCATTTAAGCTCCGTGAAGTAATTGAAGTAAACTTGTCACAGGTAATATTTTGGGGGCTCTTCGAAGTTTAATTCTCCATTTTTCTTCCAGGGGATGTGGGAGAGTTCATCGCAATCAAATTCCTCGACTGAGGCCATTGAGAAGCTTCAGCAGATGAACAGAGTGCTGCTGGGAGAAAATCATCTGCTGAAGAGCAAACTGAAAGACTGTGAAAAGTTAAATGAAACACTGAAGAACGAGAACGACTTGTTCTCCAGATTACACAATCAGTCCAACGAAACGCAATCCAACAGCCAAAAACGATCTAACATGGACGACCTTTTGGCCGGATTCATGGCTGAAATGCGCGAACTGCGCTTGCGCTTAGAGGATAGTATTCGCACTAACGATGCGCTGCGAGCGCAGTTGGAGATGCGATTGTCCGAGGGGGCAGGTGACGGTAGTGCATCGAGCGCCCCTGATCAAATTATTTTGATTCGCGAGAATGACTCGCTGCGGACTGAGTTACTGAAAAAAGATCAATCTAATGAGAAATTGAAGAAAACCATCGATGGATTAACGCGAGAGCAAACGAGGTAAGTCTTTGGTGACTGTTTCTGAACTGTTCTACACAGCTCAATGGTTTGTACTGTCATCTCCAAACCAAGAGATCCAAATGTGAAATGTTGCAGGGACACTTTTTTTTTGCTTGTTTTCATTCATCTTCCGCTGAAAGTTTTACAGTAAGCCATGTTTGCTAAACGCCAAGTTATCTCCTTGTTCCTTCATAAACTTACAATGGTCAACTTCCTTGTGTTTATCCAGGGACAAAGAGCAACTCAATCTTCTCCGCCAACAGATGTTGGAGAGCACTAAAGTTGCTGAAAACCTCAGAAAAGAATTGAGTGTTTACGAGAAGCTCTACAAACTGTCTTACGAAGGCAGGAACATCGAATTACAGACTGATGGTATGTATCTGTGGTATTCGGAAATTTGAAAGGACCGTCTAAGCCTTTTTCTGAAATCATATCCTTTATATTTTCTCCCATAACCCTGTGTCATGTGGTGTATGTTTACTAGTTATGGCAAAAATTCCTTTCGAGACTAATTAACCCTCCGCAACCAAACTAAACCCGCAATTTTCGTGTTTGAGCTGTCGCGCAACCACTCAGCAAAATGATTTCTCCTTTGGAGCCAACCGTTTCTTATTGGATGATTCAAGAAGCATTTTACAGTGGCTTTTTATTAGTTTTTGTAGCAGGCTGGTTTAGGGAAAAAGTACACACTGCATGACGCCACTGAGGCTTTGAGGGAATAATGCGTGGCGATAACAACCTAAGGGGCAGGAAAACATAGCTCTCGAATTCGCGATTTGTTTTTGTTTTTGGTTTTTTTTCCTCTGATGGCTCGAAAGGATGGCTCAGGTTTTCTAGACAAATCACAGGGTAAAGTCAGAGTGAAAGGAATACTAACATGGATGTTCTCAGTTTCGTTACTCAACCGCAAATGGATTTTTAAACCAATTTCTGACATTTCCGTAGGGCAAAGTTATGGCAGTGAGGGACCTCGAAGTCCTAACAGCGAGTCACAGCAAGACGCCCTGTCGATGTTACTGGCTGAAATCCGAAGCCTACGAATCCAGCTGGAGAAAAGTATTGAAACCAACAATGCATTGCGACTTAGACTTGAAGAACAACTTAGTCGGCCTGCCAGTTCACCATCCCAGTCTCCCAGCAGATCTCAAGGCACGTTTACTCGATGGCTGAACTTCTCGGAGAGGAAGGGAGGGGAAGATATTGGTACTGTCGAGTCTGTCACAGGTAGAGCGTCTTAGTGATAGCCATTATTATACCTGAGTATACTTTTTCATTTACCCATTTTGTGCTGTCCTAGTGCAGCTTCCTATGGGTAAACTTTTCAAGTTGAAACTCTTTTCTCTTTTAGACTTACAAAATGGTGGAATTTCTACCGAGGAGCAACAAGTTATGAGTCAGCTTGAAGAGAAGTTAGACTCTCTAAACAAGTTTGCAACTGAGGCGTACAATAGCGTTATATCAAGCTCGCAGGTAGTTTGTTTTTTGTCGCTTTAAAGCCGGATATAATGGTTTAGTTTCCTAATATCTCTTTTTTTTCTTTTACTCACCTTTACAGACCGATAGTCTGCCTTATATTGAAAATATTTTGAGAATTATTTTACAATGCAAGGCGCTGTTGAAGGCATTGCATGTCGACATTTCTCGTCAGCGTACACACAGTGATCCAGATGATTCTGACAAAGAGGTAAGGCTATTTTTTCCCTTCAGGGAAACCACTACGATAGAAAATAAGACGCGAGATATCTATGCATGCAAAAAAATTAACATGAGTTTGTGCTGACTTTCGATTTTGTACCTTGAGTGGCGACCTTTTTTCGCAAATTTTCTGTGCTCTGTTCCAATATCGCTTAAGGTTAAATTTACTGTTTTTGTCTCTAAATGCGAACCAGAGCATGCTCGTCAGACGTGGCTTCCCTTTCTTCGGCAACTACATCTTGCCTTTTGCTGTAATGGTTCATAGATAACTCACCCATTGTTTTGAGTAAAGGATTTTAACTCTGTTTGTTGTTCTTTTATTTTGCTTTATTTTTTTGTTGTTGTTGTTTATTTTTCCATCTTATTCTCTGTAGAATGAAAGTCTCAAGCTCGAAATTGGAAAATTAAGACGCCGACTTCTTATTCAAGAAGATATAATTAAACGAGCGTGTGAAAGACTCGAGGTAGGCCAGAACACTTATAGAAACATGGATGTGAGGCTTGATCTTAACTGAGGGTTTCACTGTTATTTTTTACTCAGCTCTGTTGCACTAATTTAAATTTTTTCTTTAGCTGGCTTTTGAAATATCACTGGTCTGCTATGACTGTCTATATCTTTTCTTTTAAGAGTAAGAGTGCTTAGTTCAACACATTCGCTGTTTTTGTCATCTGAATGTCACACAAGTGAAATTCAAATTCGTTCGCTCTTAGTAGTTCAAGAGTGAATTGTATATTGTCCCCCACACCGCATAAGTCTTTTTCTCTCTGTCCCTGTGCTAAAACTTTTAACCTGAATGTAATCAGGGAATAAGTCATGCTCGGCTAAGGAAACCTTACCTCAGCAATTCTATCGAGTCTGACGCTAATAAATAACGGGAAACTGAAGAGGCCATTTTACAGTTGTGTATTTAGTTGCCAAGCCTTTTATTTGGAGTGAGGCTGAAGGTGACCTTGTTGTGATAGAGACCAGTGCCTAGTTAGCGTAACAATAAAGCAATTTACATTTAAAAAGCAGCAAGGTTTGTATCATAATATGGTCACCCTTAGTCTCACTCCTGTTGAAAGGCTTGGCAACCATGCACGCAACTATAAAATGGACTATTGCATAAATTTAGTAACTCACTCACTGAAACGCCTTTTTAATAACAATTTAACTTTCAATATTATCTAGTAACCTCTTAACTGACTTTCATTTAACTGTTAACGATCAATAATCGTGAATAACTTGAACATAAACACTTAACATACTGTTGGTTTTGTTCTCTTTGCTTCGTGTCTTGTGTTTTTTTTTCTGCTCTGATTCTTTTTCTCTTCCTGTACAGCGTTGATCACTCAAAGTTCCACTCTCCTCTGATCAACGGTAACAAACGTAATATGTAACTTTATCACTACTAAACTGCTCATGCGTCTTAAGATGGTATCAACATATCACATCACCTCACTGAGCTTTGCCGTTGTTCCAAAATCTAACCACGTAACACCATAACATAACCAATCACGTAAATTAAAAAAAAAACTGGCATGTACAACATGAAATTTCAATTTAAATAAACTTATCAAAAGTCGAAAGTGGCCGGCCGACTTGTGTCACGTCTGACTGACCGGTTTCGATTGAATTTTACGTGACCTTAGTAACAAAAGAGTTCGCACATTGTAGGGGTGCTTCACCCTCCTTGCTCTGATAAAGGTTGAGTAGCGAAGAGGACTTAGTTTTGTGTTTTTGTTTCTTTCTTGATTGTGCATTGTTCTTCGTGCGTTTTTTTTGTTGTTGGGTGTTTTTTCGTCGATCATTTGTTCGTAATGAAAGTTTGTCAAGTAAGTAAAGACAGAACTTGAGGTTATTACGAAAATAATCTCGCGCGGGCCACAAACAAATTGATTAAGATTTGAAAGGTTATTATTTTTGATATAAGAATACTGCCTTTTCTTTTTCGTGAACTGTCAGAGGCATTTTCAAATTCCATCTTGGTAAATGTCGGGTTTTTCTGTTTCTTCAGACTACAAATAAAGTCAAGGAGAGCACACGTGATGAGATTATTGAACACTGTGAGTATTTATGAACACCTTAGTATGGACATCTTTAAAAGAATTTACATGTAGTCTTCACTGGTGACTCAAACTTTGTCTCGGTGAGAGTTACGTTTATCTGGAATGAAAGCAAACATTATTTACTTTGGATTTGTCAATGGCCCTTGGAACTAAACTGAGCTTCGTTTGCTAACGTGTTTTACAAAGTTCAAACAACGAATTTTTCTTATGACCATCGCTAAATGTAACCCGTTTGAGAGTCGTTGAGCGCTGTGAATAATATCATTGATACCTTGCGCTGGAAGACAAGCGACTGATTTGGGTTCTGAAAATGAGAAAACGTTTACAGTTACCCAGTGCGGAAAATTTTAAGCTGTTTCTGTGCGCTGGAAATCTCGGAGCAAGTACCCAGCGGGGTAAGATGCGCTAATGGTTTCAAGCATGTGAAGCAGACTAGTGGTGTCAAGTGCGGGTGAAAGTCGCGTTAGAGAATGTCCTGTTTCTAATTGGTAGCTTGATCGGTTGAAAAGCAAGACTTTCGTTTCTTTGATTGATTGGAGGGTATTACTTATAACTGAAGTTTTTTAAACCCAGTAAGAGTTGAAGAAATAGGATCAAAGCGTTTTAAACCTTCATAAACAGCTTTGATCAGAGGTAGATGATGAGTGCTTGCTGTCAAGTTACAGAAAAAAAGATAAATCTTTAAAAAAAACTTAAACATAAAAGTCGGTATGTTGATCAAGTATACGATAAATTTAATACTGGTCGATAGAGATATTTACCATTTCCTTTAGAGTTCCTCCATATTAAATCCCCTTCATAATATAGCGATGATGTCTCATTTGAGATTTGTGGAGCATCAGCGAAGAGAAATTATCCGTGGTCGTGTAACCAAAAGTAAAAACGGATTTTGATGGAGTGATAATACCATACTTTAATATTTCCATTCTTAAATCGAAAGCATCCTGTTTTTTTCCTCCGTTTTAAAATTACTTTCACAGTAAAAGTTTTAATTTGTAATTTTTAATTTGTTTCTAGTATCCGTCTCACAGAAGGTCTTATCCGGTGCCAGGGGAAAATTAGAGGTCAGTTACCATGGCTGCTGCAGAAAGGGAAGACTTGATTTCGTGGAGGGATCAATAGAAACATAAGGGCTTGGATGGGTGCAAGCTAAACAAATGAACGATTCAAACATAAGATGACAATCACGCATGTGGTAGTCAGCATTAGCAAAATCGCTGCTCTTCAAAGAGCAGGATATGTTAAAATTCTCTCAAAATAAAAAGGTCTCACTTTCTACTGCAGTCCAGAACTTTAACACGGGAGGAATTTTAGAGTTTTAGCGAAGGTCAGACTGTACTTTAATCTCTAATTAATTCAAATCTAGCAGTTTTCTTTGGCAATGTTCTTTCAGTTAGATGCGCTTGTGTTAAAGTTCCCCTTATTGATCGATAAACTTCTCTTTTTTTCAGAATCGTCTTCGTCCGAGCAAGGCAGCTAAATAATAAGGGTGCACAATTGTAAAATGATAGGATATAAAGCTGTCCAAAAAGTTAAGTATATAAGTTAAAGAAATTTTTTTTAAAAAATTTTATATTTTCGATCAATCGTAAATCAATTTTTCTATCGAGAAAATTGTTTATTTTTTCATAAAACAATAACAAAGCTAAAAATAGTGTTACTGAAGGCCAGTATTTAAAATTGGTTTTCAAGTAACACCGAGGAGCTTCAGCAGGGCAGGTTCATTGATATTGTACATTCATTATTGAAAGTATCTCAAAGGAAATGAATTTGTCATCATGTAAAATTTTTCACCAATAGAAATGGTTTCGTTAAGTTATTGTTTGTTTGTTTGTTTGGTTTTTTTTTTTGCATCTCCACAGTAGTTTAGGGCTTGAACTGTTACTTAGCTAAATAATAATCTTATCCCTGCATTGAAAAAGGTTAATTCCACCATCAACGGTTTTCAATTCGACTTGTAATTCATAATTTAAAAAAAAACGCTAACTTCAAACCACCGTCCACGAATGACGATCATTACACTCTTATCGCGAGTCCAAAGTCCACAGCATGTACAGCCGTGACGTCACCCAATACTTGAACAAAGCCTGTAACAACAAAGTAATAAGGAGTAATTGATAGGAAGGAGGTAATTATTGTGAAAGTTGAAGTCTTGCCTGAAGACAAAGCAGAAAAAATACTATTTTGTGCTGAAAACTTACCAAGTTCTGATCCTGTTTTAGCGCGATAAAACTGAAACCATGCGACACTTCTGCATCACGTAACTGTCAGAAGCAAAACTTAAGCATAACTTGACATGCACAGTGTTGCGTCACCCTCTTAGCAACATTTTCCAATGAGTTATCGATGGTTTCGTTCCTCAGATCTAAGTGACTTTACTTCTCTGTCCCTCTGCAGTAGTTTTAATGAGTCGCCTTACAGTAGCCTCCAAATATTTTATTAGTAACCAGCGATCCAAAGGAAGATAGGGGAAAGAGAAATTTAGCTGACGAGCCTGTTGTTGATTTAACCGTGCCGCAACTTTCCCGGTTTCTGCTGCGTGAATTGGTAACTAGTAATATTGAGTTAGAGTTTAACTGTCCTTGAAGCATTTACAGAAACTAAAGACTTAATGAAGAATTGTTGAGCATGTTCCTCCCAGATCAGTTTACTGTCTCAAAGAATGGTAGAATTCCTTGATGTGAAAGGAATGTGGGCAGTAATTTCAAAAATCTCTCTCATATACACTTAAGCACGGCATTATTTTCTCCCTTAAACCAATTTTAACAAAAATGGAAAAATGACAAAGAAGACATTTATAACCAATTACATTTATTGAATATTCTTTGATCCAGTATGAATAACATTTCCCTGTAAGCCGTGGAAATAGTCAAAAAACTGTTAATTTTAAAAAAATTTTGAATTTCAACTCAAAACTGAATTTTTCCAAACATTGATTGAATTCATGGTTATCGATGGAATGATAGTTTTTCTTTCCTTTTATGATAAGCAAAGAAAAATTTGCTAAAAAGCTGCCAGTAATATGCACATTTGGGCTTAACATTTTAAACCTTCCTCTTTTTGTCATTAATATCTCGAGATTCGCTATCTCTAGTTTTGGTGACCTTAGAAATGGCTTAGGAGTGTGACTGATGTACACACAAACATTTAACATCTTGGTATCTTAGCGACACAGCAAAATTATTATTGTCTTTCAGTGAGAGATTCTACCAGCAAGGCAAAGTGTGGCTTCCGTGCCTCTTCGTGATAGTATTGGATAATTCTTGACACAAGTGATAAAAAAGTTCAGTTCCCTCTTCAAAAGAGGATTATCTTCTGCCATAAAGGTCAAATTAAACGTCAGTTACAATGGTAAAATGAAAAATAACCTCATGAATATAAAAAAATTAACACCTTTTTTGAAAAAGTTGCCCAGCATCACCCAATGCGGTAATTTTAAGACATCTTCACTGCAAGCGGCGAAAATATGCTATTAAAGACTAACAGAAATGCTGTTGGTTCACCGATATCTTGAGGAAGTAAAATATTAAAATCCTAAATATTTCTAGAACTTGTAGTATCCGTTCTAATTGGTATCTTTTACTTCCCGTCTATTTCCTCCTCTTCATTTGAGATGTCATTACCCTCTTGTAGTTCTTGTTCGGCTTTTTTCAGTTCGTTTACTCGTTTCTTTTCTCGCGCGACCTTGGTCAGAATTTCAATTCCGTAAATGAGTGTTAAAACCGCAATGAAGATGGCCGTGGCTGGGTCTATCAACCAGGCTGATCTACTCAACTCCAAAACTAACGTGCTAAGAATCACACCCACCGACATTCCCGCGCCACTGAGGGCATCGATAGAATCCGCAATCAAAGCAGAACTGTCTAATTTCCTCGCCAGACACAGTTTAATACAGAAGAGGAAAAAATACCCCACACAGCTTACTACTGACATGATTATTAAAACTGAAGGTTTCCGTGGTTCCTCGTCCAACACGATACTAACTATCGCTCGCCCAGCGACCAGCGCTCCCGAAACGATAAAACACACAGCGATGATGTTACAAGCCTTCCATTCTCGCTGAGTTTTTCCCTCGCCGTTTATTCCGTAATAAAACCGCCATATAACAGACGCAGAAGAAGTAACGGCCAGTATTGCGTCCAAAGCCACCGCGAATGCCGAAGAGCTGTCGGATATTTCTGAAACTGCAAATGCGCCAAACCCGAGCATAACCGTGAAGACGATTGAGAGCAGGCAAATTACAATGGTCGTTTTGCGCCATTTTTCCAACTTCTCATATGGAAGTTCCCCACTTTTTTTGTCATCAGCCCCATCGGTTTTTAGTAATGATTGTTGCTCGTTGTTGATTTTGGCGCCGGGGCTATTTCCAAACTCCTCTTGTGTTGAAGAAGTGGATTTATCCATCATCTGATCGAATTTAGTAACACGGTGCTGTCAGCATTTTTTTGGTCTGTTTTGCAAGTGTATCATGTAGATACACTCGTTTTATCCTGAATCATTGGGCTTAATCTATTGGCTCGATCAATGACTCTTTGCAAGGATAGGTCTAATTTATGCTGAATGCAATTAAAATATTCCTTAACCCATTTTAAAATTTTAATGTCTCGTCAGACTGTCAGTACATGAAACTTAAAGAGAATATTCAATTATTGCAGTATCACACTTCGCCCACGGAGCTTTAGACATTACAAGTAATCAAAAAAAAAGGAGAGAAGAGATGGAAATATGAATAAATTCTAAATTTTCACTTAATTGCTCTCTGCTTTGAACAAAAACATAGCAGTTTCACTCAGGTGCCTAGGAGCGGTGGGAAACAGAAACTATGTGCAAATTAGTTAGCCCAGCAAGGCGTTTGTTTTCCTTTTTTTTTAAATTACCTTTTTCTTGGCTACGAATCTATCTCATCAATTGTTGCCTACGCAAAGTGTTCGGCGAAAACTCCAGTAGTTTTCTCTATCTTTTATAAGACATTAAAGACTCTCTAATGTCTATTGAGTGATTAAGTTGTCTCCTCTATTCCCATTGTTAGCAGCACTTTTGTTTGGGTCAATAGCACCTGAATAACATCACTGTTTGTTTACGATATCACTAGCGCCTCCGAATATAAGAGACCTTTCGGAACATCATTTACTCTTCCAGTTGCGCAACAAGCTTTTAAGAAGTGCTGACGTTCAAATGGAACCTAAAGATAAATATCTAATCACAGTTATCGACCTCGTTTCGTCTCCAGGTATTCTGTAAGTGCGAAGAAAATTGAAATCTGTATGCTATTTATATGAATTTATCAATTATCATTAAAATGCTTTATGATGCTCCTTTTTACTTTTCCTCCTACTTCAGATATAAAAATAATTTTAAAGAACCTTTGACGGAACAAGTGGTGACCAAATATTGACCCGAATCGATCTGGTAACAAGCTCGATGTGACTTTGGTTTGCTTTCCTTCGTCCTGGGAGAGTCAATATTTTACACACATTAAAAATCAATTTTAAATTTTCCGGGCCATTTTAAATTTTTTCCCAATACACATGTTTCTTAGAGCAAATACCATAGTACCACTCGCAAATATTTGATGTAGGCAAAAAATAATTTTAAAAAAGAAAATATTTAAAGATGGGCATTTTCTGTGACTTGAGCTTAAAGAAAATGATAGAGTATAGAGCGGTAGATAAGGAAAAAAAAGACACAATTACAGCATACGTTTCTACATAAGAGCCTTCCCAGAGACAGTTGACCCCATCGGGATGTTCAACAAGTTTATGGCTGATTGGCAGCTCTGGCCGTGATCCAAGTGGCGAGAATGAGGATGCAAAGTTGTGAACTGATGAGTGGGTTATGACGGGGGTGTACCACTGCTCCGAATCGATCTACTGCCATCAGAACCTGGCTCTGCATTGAAATGGTCACGGAAACATCGGATGCAAATGGAACAAACTCGCAAAGAACTGACCAATAGCACCATTGATCGGTCATTAGTCAGAATAGAACACCGTTAAAATCTGTGGAAATACGAAAATTGAAGACAGCATGTCGGACATAGCCATGTTCACGATAAAGTAGTAAAAAAACTTTCTCATTGCGTTTGTCTTATAGACCGATTATTACGATGAGAGAATTTTCTGTTAGTGCAAAAACAAGTAGAACTTAGTAAGCGAGCGTCTTTCCAACGTTTTCAGCTGAAGGATTCGAACTGCAACGGAAACTGTGTTCCGTTCACTATTGTGTTCAATACTGCCGACATTCTCAGAGTTCAGTATTTTGTTCACTTATTAGTTACCGTCTTAAATGTGACACACTGCAGTAGTGTTTGTCATCGAGGAAGTGCTACTGTATGCGTCATACTATAGCACAAATGTGCCTTTGATCGACGTCTTTTGAATGCAAGCAGTACGTAATGGAAAGATAAACAACGTTTTTTAAAAAAGATCCATTAATTGATGTTTGCCAGCTTATAACAAGTGTGAGACATGCAACGTAACTGTCAGATCACGAGCAAATATTTGATACTTTTAACGACTGACTTTAAAAGTAGGTTTACCAACGAAAAACAGACCCCTCTCAGCAGATTTCAACAACTACAGCCACCTCCCAGCGCCTTTAAAACGACTCTTAAATTAACATAACCAGAGATCAGAACAGAACGACTTCACTTTAAATTTTCCGACGGATCTAAACTAAATTACGCAGCTTGAGTCTTACGCCCAGTAAAATTTCGGGGAAAAATGATCGATCATTTCTCTTGAACCAGAATTAAAACTTTTTCGTGGGAAATGTTACATTATATGGGAAGGATGATCAATTTCAAACTGTTAAAATGTTTTGTATAGGTAATCACTTGATTTCGAGTGCAATTTGGAATAAATAAGCACGAGTAAATTTTTTCAAAGACTAACAAAATTGCACGAGCCCGTAGGGCGAGTGCAATTTGTGGTCTTTGAAAAAATTAACAAGTGCTTGTTTATTCCAAATTGCCGAGAAAAATCATGTGATTACGTGTTAATAATATACATGGAAAAATACGAGATGGTCTATCATAATTAAACAAAAGCAAAGCGCGCGCATCAAGTGCAAAAAATAATTTATTCAAACCGTACGTTCGGTCAAAACAACTGCGTACGATCAAAACAATAATATGCAATGATATCTTCACATCTTTAAGGTGCAAAAAAGTTCAAAGTCCGGTTCAACAGTTCAAGGAATTGTTCAGTCTGTGTCCGAATCACTTTCGATGAAATGGAATCGTCGTTTCCGAGGTTTAACCATGTTTGTTTTAAATTTCGGCGTTGGATCGCTCGAGCAAAGTGTTAAGCTGGGTCGGCTCGTAATTTTCGATTTCCTCGGCAATTCCCCTCTCTAAACACCACTTTTTCCAAACGGACAACCAAAAAGCAGTGCTTTTTACAATGTTTTCGTTGTTTAAGCTTTTTTTCAGCTGCGGTGGCGAAAGAAAACCTACTTAAAACGCCGGCCATTGTTTCGCTGGCAAATTTTCAAATTTTGTTGCGACATCCAAGGCTCGCATTTGATTGGCTATCTGCGAGTTTCTTTGATCATTGACCAATCAGAATGTCTGATTTTTTTTCTTTCTTTGCACTGAATTAACCCTCTTCTGCACTGAATTACCTGAAAACTGCATTTGTTATAACCAATCAAAACTGAGTAATTTTCCCATGTATATTATTAGATGGAAAATAAAGTAAAATAAAGAAAAATAAATTGTCGGCCCTCGTTTTCACGTACTTCTTGTGCTTAGTCTCTCTCGGAGCCTCTCAAGCAAAGAAAATTGAAGTACAGGTCCCGAACAGGAGGAAATAATTTTGAGGTACATCCATAGCGTCTTAAAATAAAAGATAATACTGATGGGTGAATAAACGGGTTAATACATGAAAAACTCGACTCGTGTGGTTTACGCATTAAGCGGCTTCTCGAATTTAGGATGTAATTCTTTTCCATGAGAAATTGAGGACCTTCATTTACTCGAGGTCTAACCCAAACCGCGATGCACTCAAGCATTGGGCCTAAGGCATTCTGTGAAAGAGAGTTGGATTAACTAGATAAATTTACTTCCACTATGCACTTCCAGCCCTCTAACAACTGTGGACAAAACAAATGTTCAGATAAGAGGTTTTGCCAAATTGAAGATGGCTTAGAACGCGATTTTGTTGAACAGCAGCTAAACTATGTTTAATAACCGGCCCTTAGACTCCGAAATTGTGGCAGCTCCTGCTAATGAAAGGCTGTCTTTACGCGAAAGGTTCTTGGCCCCTCAGCGTCGGACAAATTTTACAATTTTTCGTATTATCAGAATGAATGCTGAGTGCAATTGGTATATTGTCTTTTGATTCAAATTCCGTACAGGCCTGAGTTTTTTTCAGGCCTTATTTTCACTGTTACCTAAGTAGTTTCATTATTGCGAAGATCGCTTTCATGTTCGTTTGTATTTTCTTGTCTCGAGTCGATCTTAGGGTACAAGGTCACATAAAAACTTTTTTTGTCTCTCTTTTTCTTTGCTTTTCTTTTTCATTCTATTTTTCTTTCCAATTTGCATCTTCTTCAAAGGATATGTTAGATACGTTCAGCGTAAAATGCAAGTGTAAGAACGTTTGAAAACGTAGCTTTTACGCTCAAATCGATGACAAGTCGAGATGCAGGGGTGAGACCTTAAACAGACTGCACAAACTAATGTTGAAACGACAAATGAATAAAGAGGGTAAATTTCTAAAGAAACTGTGGTGCTGCGTCGGTGAAAGAGTATAGCAGGTGATTTAGTGCTGACAACCGAGTTGAAAACGTAAATTGGCCACCGTAAAGAGTTAAAAGGCTGGCGTTTCGAGCGTTAGCCCTTCGTCAGAGCGATTAGAGGAATAGTTCATTTTACAGTTGTGTGCTTGGTTGCCAAGCCTTTGAACAGGAATGAGGCTAAGGGTGGCCTTGTTATGAGACAAACCTTGCTGCTTTTCAAATGCAAATTACTTTGTTATCATGCTAACTAGATACTGGTCTCTATCACAACAAGGTCACCTTCAGCCTCACTCCAAATCAAAGGCTTGGCAACTAAGTACACAACTGTGAAATGGCCTATTGTGGATTGTGTGTGGGTTTATATGCAGGAAATGGAGCTACGCTATTGTTGAGAATATGGTGACGAGAAAACAAGAATAAATTAGTTGAATGAAAACGGCTCGTTGATACCGTGGGAATTAAGAGCGCCGATTTGGAAGATAAATTTTTGTCTTAGCGTTTTGCGGCTTTCCGAACTGCCCAGATGTAAGGAAAGGCCGCAAATTGCCATATGTTGTTTAGAATGATTAGGGAGATTTAAGTGTCTAGCGGCTGGTTTGGATGCGCCTTTGTCATTTCCTTCTACGTCGCGAAGGTGTTCTCAGAATCGGTCACCTTGTCTTCTTCCTGTTTCGCCAATGTATAACTTCTTGCAAGAAGTGCAAGATATGCAGTAAATGACATTGGCGGAGGTACATGTAGAGTGATCAGTGATCTTAATGGATCTCTTGGGTCCCGATATTTTCTCTATGTTATGAATGAAAGGACAAGTTTTGCATCGTGAGCGAGCGCATTTGTAAGTTCCGAATTGGTGATTGGTTTGAAATGAACTTCTGACCAAAAGTTGCCTCTGTTTTTGTCACGTTTGAATGAAATTAGTGGGGGTTGTGAAAAGATAGTACCAGTCTCTGAATCGTTTTGGAGTAACTTAATGAATGATAGATTTAACTGCGTGGTTGTGAGGGTGAAATTTTATTTATTTATTTATCTAATGTACAATTACACGTACAGGTGCATAACAATAGGACAACCAACCCTGCAGGAGACGGGGCCAACGGTTTTACATCCTATGCGAGAAGACGAAGCAATGTGAGTGAAGTGTCTTGCTTAAGGTTACAACGTCATGCCCCAGCCAGGACTTGAACCCAGGCCGTCCGACCCAGAGTCCAGCACACTGACCACTGGACTACTCACGCCTCACAAATGAAATGTGAGAGTGAATGGAATGCGGTCAGTGTTATCCTTCTTTGTAGTGCTGACTGTCGATCAATTTGTCGGGCACGATGGTGGCCTGCTTGAACGACAGAAACGGGATAGCCACGTTTATCGAAAAACTGGCACATTGCCTCTGATTTTTCGGAAAAATCAGATTTATCACTACCTAAACGACGAAGTCTGAGAAACTGTGAAAAAGGTATGGAATTCTTGACGTGTGATGGATGCGAAGATGAAGACAACAAGTAACTATGTGAATCTAGGTTTTTATATAATAAACTCAGCTATGTACGCATTCTGATTGGGTCTCGCTTATGATCTATTGGAGGACAGACGCGTAGATGACGTCATCATTAAAACTTTTGGAGTTTGGCGGGCCGACCTCTACCAAAAAGGAAGCTTTACGGCAACTTTCTGACACCTCCTTTTAACGACTATATAGCCAAACAAGAATTGCCGGCCACTGCAAAAAATCTCACCATCATCACTCCTACAACCTCGTGCTTTTACTTTTTACCTAAAATCCACAAACCTAACAACCCAGGTCGACCCATCGTTTCTGCCTGCAGTTGTCCCAGCGAACTTATTTCCAGCTATTTAGACAAAGTTATGGTACCTATCGTCAAAACTTTACCATCTTACATTAAGGACTGCCAACGCGCACTTGAAATTTTTCGTGACTTTAATTTAATATTTAGACTTTCCCCTAAACAATCGTGTGGCAATAAAATGCTGTTGTATTCGGTGCGAGGGCAACAACTGCGCAACTGTATTGCGGTCGGGATACATTTGAATTTGAACAGGGACACGTGACAAAGAATCCACCAATCGCAGTGCTCGTTTTGTTGCGTGAAAGTCTAGGTATATAACAGGAAACAGTGAAATCCCGACGATCTGGGATTCTGCCGACATTGAAAATCAGCTTTAATCGTGTTCCAGCGCTCGTAGTGAAAACATTTGGCACAGTCTTTATATCTCTATACGATTTTCATGCCTATAACACGTCAAAATTGACTGCATGATGTGCGGTTGTCTATGTTGGAGACATTTAAAAAGCCTGTGGAGATTTTCATCTCCTCCGAAAACAGTGTTTTGACACTCTTTTTAACTAGTACTAGAAGCCTAAAAATTGGAACATTTGGACTCACACGAACGCCACAGAGCCTCTACGGCGATTTCTGACGGAACAAGAAACGACTCAGGTCCTCTGCTCAACGCCATAGTAATAAGATAAAATTGTCGCTACACTGACACTATGATTGAGACAAGATATACGTGTGATATGTTCAACTAAAGAATGATAGTGATTGTTTTGCGTCAAGAAGCCCTCGAATGAGGCTCAACTCCTGAAATTGCTAAAAATCAGGTTGGACTGGAGAATGATCATCTCTTGCTAGGTGATTACAGTTTTCAATAAAGTTTATTCAAACATAGTGAAATACAGATCTTGTTAAATCTCCGATAAATTAGCTTCGTATAACATTTGGCTTCCGGTAGACCAGCAAAATAGAAGTACGAAGGTAAAGTCAAAAAAACAAAACAAAAACAAAACAAAAAAACAAGGATGAGGGAAAATGACTGAATTGAAAACTCGGTTTTTTCTTTAAAAATATAGACACTGGTTTTGAATATTCCCATTTTCAAACTGGAAAATTAAGAGCAAAAGTGTATCGCAGAAAACTATTTTTTCAATACCTTGTGCTGAAGCAGCCTCAAAATAACTCCGTGTGAAGCACAGTGTCTGAGTGGACTAATCCTACTTACTGTATAAAACAGTTTTTGATTTAAGAAAAAGCCTCAAAAAGTGCCTTATATCTCCGTAATAATTTACGTTACCAATCTCAAAATAACATATTCTTGTTCCTTTATTTTCCTATCTTTGTAGACGTTGACTCTTTTTCTTAATGTTTTTGCTAAGCCCACACAACTTTTACGGTCACACGAAGATTATCACGACTTACAGTTCACAAAAAGAAATAAATTGCCATTTAATTCTGAATTTCTTTTTTTTTTCTTTTTTCAGACACTGAAAGGATATCGTGGGCAGCAGAAAATAAATCATTTATAGTCACCTTAATTCCGGTGAAATTTCTTCTGATTGGTCGAATATTGCATTCGATGAGTAGCAAAACATACAATCCTCCAATAAGATTCTTTCAGAACATCTGTTTATTAGATTCTCTCTTCCTCAATTTGACATAAATGATTTTATTCTTAAACGAATTCGCTTTTCATTTACACTCTGTGAGAACTAAGAAAGCGAATTAAGGAAATATCGGTACCGTGAAGACCTAACGTTCTTGAAGATCGTTTGTTTTTATATCGGACTCATTTTCTACCGACATCGCTTACTTTTTCACTGAGGTAACTATTTCTAACGTCGTGGGCATCAATATTTCATCTCAAGCGGAAAACATATCGTGGTGAGCTGATACGTTAACTCTTATATGAAGTTTCTTGTCTCTGAAATTGATTTTTTTATTCCAAAAAAACGACAGCTTTTGTATTTTTTATTGTTTTAAAAAGGTAAGGAACTCTGAGTTTTCCGGATTTCTTGGTGCCGTTCTCGAAGTAAATCTTCGTTTGATGGAACATGGAACTGTAAAGCCTTAATGACAACTGTAAATGCGTATAATTCATGGAAAATCTTGTTCAAACGGATTTAAGAAGATTGTATTCAACGATATAAAACATCAAAGGTCGAAAGAGGGGAATTGAAAGGCTTTCTATCAGTAGGACGTTGTGAGCCATTTGGAAAAACGTCAGTTGAAAGAAATAAAAATACTTCTATCAATTTAAAGCAGACAACAACCACAAAATTTCTCGATTGATTCAAGATTAGACATGGACAGTGCACAGGAGGAAAGCAACATTGTCATGAAAACACCAGTGCTGGGACATGAAGCGTCGCCAGTCAAGCTTACAGTGGAGCCTACGAAACCTCAGGAAGATTTTGGAACTTTTCCGTGCGTATCCCCTTACGACGATGAAACAGGAAAACAGAAAGTCCGATTGTCGGCGCAAGAAAAGCAACGCTGGCGCCGCGCGGCACTATCCGTATCCTTCGCCTCGATGTATGTTACACTCATGCTTAGCATCGCGTCGTTCGTAAGTTCAGGCATTTCTGAAAGTTCCGCGGCGTTCGCGATCGCTTTCGACGCTATGCTCGGGGTTGTATCGTCTGGAGTGATTGTTTGGCGTTTTTACCAAGGAGTTAATGGTGTCTTAGGTCCAGGCAAAGAACGAAAAGCTTGTGTGGTAATAGCTGCATGTTTCATACTCTCTGCGCTGGTGATGTGCACGCGAGCGGTTGAGTTCCTTGTCAGCGACATGGAACCGAGAAACACACTCGCTCTTCTTTCGATCTCCGTGGTCGGGTTTCTGTGTTATTCTGCCTTTTTCTGGTTGAAATATCGTATCGCTGATAAGCTGCAGAGCGTTGCTTTGAGGATCGATGCAATAGACTCAGCCTGCGGTGCCGCTATGGCCCTTGGTTTGATTGTAAGCACGATTATTTACAGCGAAATGCATTCAACATGGTGGTTAGACTCGATCATCGCACTTGCAATCGCTTTCGTCACTTTCTGCTACGGCTGCCTGATCATACTCAAAGTGATCTGGAACAAAGACAGGTTTGGAATACCCGAGGAATATGAACTGTTTTAAGAACGGCCAAAGTTTATTATTTTATCTTTTGAAGCTATTATTTTGATTTTTTTAGTCTATAATTTGGAGAGTTTTTTTGAAAGACGATTATAAATTTTAGCCGGATGCGAAAAAAAACACACCTGCTCACAATACTTTTTGTCTCTTTAAACCTGAAATAAGTTTTATTTTACACGAGACTCTGTATGTAACAAAATTACGTGTATGCGATATAAAGAGTAGTTGTTCAAAATCCTAAAACTGCATGTCTGTTGATAAAAAATTACTACAAGGAAACCGTTTTTTTGTCTCGTTCAAAGAAATAATTTCATAACATGGAAATGACCAACGGTGTGTTATTAACTCGACACATACGAACTCGTTCGCCTGCTGCAAAGCTGTGTTAAATGTAAATGAATTTATAAGGTTCTCTTCGTACTTGAGACGAGTTAGAGAATAGGAAATTAGTTGACTCATGAGGAAAGACCCAAAGCTGACTGTTCTTTCATACTCGATAATCAGCGACCGCCGCGCTGTCAATATTCCGAATGGGAAAGGTGATATCTTTCAACAAGGGTCGATTAATTCGCGTGCAAAAGTTGTTGAATATTAATAATACGATTGGGAATTTTTATGTCGACTCTTGAATTAAATCGATTTGAAGTATCGCCAAGTTGATGGTTACAGCGTCTCCCCGAAAAAACATTTCTGGGAAAATCGTTACTTCTGACTCTGTTCGAAGTTGTTTACACAGTTTCCCGCAAGCCACGATGAGCCTGATGCAAATCGAGTCAAGTGCCTGTCAAGTTAAAGCATGTCGTATACGTTCAATTTCCACCACAACAACTCCCACCACAAACGCTCGAAATCTCACGACATCCTTTCTAAATGACAACAAGAGATGCCCACTTATTTCGCAATGACGTTAATGAATTGTGAACAACATCATTCACGTTAGCGAGCCAACCTGAATCGTTGGCGAATCAAACGAAGCCGTTAGCGAACAGACCTGAGTATTAGTGAACCAACTTATGGTCGTAGCGAAGTAAAACATTTGCAGACTACCCTTTGACCCGTAAGAGTGAGTATAATCTAATTTCTCCTTATAATATCAGCCTTGAATCACACATAAAGGTCACAAGAGTGAAACAAACGATCACCAACTAAAGATGCTCTTGATTGTCAGACAAATTCTCCTCGTCAGTACCTTAAAAAATGTACTAAGAACAGTATGGAGAATATGCATACTGACCTTAGGGTGTAAAGGGTTAAAGAACCAAGACGGGAGAGACCTCATTAAGATAATAGCGAATTAAATAAAGCCTTGACATCGAATGTCAACTAACTCACCGAGGTTGTAAGCAGACCAAGCCAAATTGAGAACGAACGAGCTGAAGACGTTAGAGGAGTACGCTAAGACTTTCGTGAACTATCCTGAATCATTGATGCATCTGCCCGGGTCTTAAGTTAACATCCTAAGTCAGTAGCGAACCTCTTCTGAGTCGTTATTGAGTTTATCTGCGACGCTTGCGAACAACCCAAGATGTAAGCGAACTGACCGAGTCCTAGACGTTAACAAACCTACTGAAGACAGTTGCGAAACAATGTAAGTCTGAGATTTAATGCAAATACTCACATTTTAGCGCTCAGGAAGCTTTTCGTCGAGGTGGGATGGGGTGGGAGGGGAAAATTTCGCCATCGAGACTCAGCATCGCAACATATCGTCTTCACTTCAAGTCAACAATTTACAATAGCACAAAAAGAAACGTAGATGAGCGGTTCACAATAGCCTTCGCTTTCGACATCCAGTTGTCCTTCAGTTCTAGCTATTTCTAATGATTTACCCTCTCCTCAGGCTTTCGCCTACACTCTGAGAAACAATTGCAAAGCGCAAGTGAATGATGATGAGCACGAAGCGCAAGGTTTTACGCGAAGGAGAAAACATTCTATTCTTTCCATCTTTCGCTATATCTCCCGTACAATTGTGATTAGACTCATTTACGAGAAAAGCATTCCACGATAACGTGCCTCGCTTCCAACATGTGGCTTCGTAGCTCAGCCAATGGTAGTTTGAGATTCTGACAAATGGGCAAAATAAGGAAAAATTATCTTTACGTATTTATTTTCTTGATCGTGAGTCAAAGGGCCACCAGTATTACTGACGGTTTTGTTACGGAAATGAAGACATTCGTATTTATCTCGGTTTTCTATGTTCTACAAACATAAACAAGTACGGTTCGGGATTCACCTGAATAAGTATGATGTTTGTGCTGACCCTTATGCGTGTGTTTTATGTGTTGCTTTTCATATGCATCCAACACTTATGCCTTCAGACAAGAATTATCAAAGATGAGAAAATAAATACTTTCGTCTGAAATAATAATTTAGGGTCTTTTGACCAATTTGAGAGTATTATTATAATAATCTTGAAATACTGAAAATAACTTCAGTAATCGATCTTCAGAGAAATAGCACATTTTTCGTTCAAACAGTTACGTGTCCTGACGAATTAATTAAAGCGGTGATTCTTTGCTCCACAGTTTGCGCGTGCTCCTCGATTCTTTTCCGCTGATTGAGTCGTTTTTACTGCGTGATACCAAAGGTGTCCGGGTATGATTTGATCCTCCAATAAACGGAGAGTAAAATGTGTCCTCCGAGCGATCATCCTCAGTCCCAAAAACTTTGTAGATTCTCTTTTTCTGCAAAGACTTCGGCGCCGGACTCAGGAACAAAAATTTGGTCACTGTTTTCCTCAAATTCCCCGCCGCTAATTCAACGTCCTCACATTTCTTTTCCAAATATTCCATTTCGTCCAAAATATCTTGATTACTCCCTACAGAAACTGAATATTCTGTCTCGATAAACGCTCGTTTTTGCCGCACAATATTTCCCACCGATGAGCAGATTTCTTCTGGTATCGAAACAAGTTTTTCTAAATCCATATCATCGCAGGCCCTCCGCACGTTCGAGGCTAAATCTCTTGTCCTTTGGAGTAGTGTGTTTACACTACTTACAAACTTTTTTACAGATACCAGTCGATTGAGTCCTGTGTCCTTTTTGCAGCTGGGGTCATTGGAGATTGTTGCTAATTGCATCTGTAGAACAAAGAGTAATATTTTTAAGACAAAATTAACCAGGTCCACCGTTGACTCATCTACACCTAATATCTGGATATCTGGATATCACTCCCCCTTACTGTCTACCATACAGTTCTTATTATTTTACCTCTGAAATTTGATCGCCAATCAGACAATACTCCATAATTTGAGATTTCTGTTCCTTCACAAAACCATTAAGCAACACATTGTAGTCATAATGTGATGATAAAAGGCCTTTACCAATCTCTCGACCGAAATCTGGAATAAATCGTGTATTGTTCAATTTGCTTTATCGCGCTGTGATTGGTCGAGAAGTCTCGTTCTACCTCCTCCTCACCGAATCAAAAGCAAAAGCGACTTCAAGTCAAACGTTGGAAAACGAAGTTGACCAAGTCTAGTTTTCCAACGTTTGATATCCAACACAGTAGCTCCTTTCTTCGGATTATCTGCTGGGATTTCCTTAACTTTGGTTTTCGGAATTCATTTGAAAAGAGCTCCGGTGTAATTGTAGAGCTGGTCAGCTCTTGCGGCAGTATCAGAGGGGGCTGAAACTCATAGTACGGGGTCGAAACTGTCCTTCATCTTCTCTTTCGCTAAAGCCTTCCCCGAGTAATAACATAACTTCAACACCTAATCGAAAGAGGGGCAAAATATTTACCTGCACTTCACGTCCCTGATGAATAAAATCGCCGGTGGTTCTTACGAGAGCGAGAACATGTTCTGTGATTTCTCTTTCCACCTAGATAAAAAAAATGTTGTTCACTTATTGTTTCAAGGTAGCGTGAGAAGAAGAGTGGTCAGTTTGTGATAGAAGCAAACAACAACAACAACAACAACAACAACAACTTTTTCGGAAAAACGGAGAGACCTTATGTCGGTCCAAAAATTACTGTATGACGGATGCATATCAATTAAATCACGAGCCAATCAGAAACGAAAACAACCGATTAAACACGAAGGGCTTCTTCGTACATACCCCAGTACTGCCAGAGTCCAAATTGTCCGTTTGAATTTGTTCCTGAATTTCATTGATAGCAGATATAGAGTCACGAACAGAAATTTCCATCGACATGTCTTGTCCCTCTACAAACGCTTTGTTTAATTCACTGTCATCCTCACACACGGAGGTATTCCCGTCTTTTGGTTTTTCTTCTTGTGAAGACAGAACAGCCATTTTGGCCGTTTGACGTACGGTGTGTCTGACGTCATCGGTGAAAGCAGCAACAAGATCGTCCGTGTTTGTACTCGAACCATCCAGGATCTAAACGAAAATAAGCACGGCCGAGTTAAAATGAATAGACACAGATTGTTATGAAGATTACGGTATTTCCTCATGATATTCACTAGACACTGTACCAGCCTAAGTAATAATGCAGTTTTCAATTGAGTGACCAAAGCAATTCGAGATTGCACAGGTTTTGTTTTTCTGCGCTTTTTGATTGGTCCAGAAAACTCACGCCACTCTGTCAAAAATTCAGATCAATCAGATGCAAAACTAAAACCAATCTCGACTTAGTCGCCCGCGTTTTCTCGCGCTTCCGGTTCTTTTTTTATTTTATTTGATTTGAGTTCTCATTGGCTCCTAAAGGTATTTTCCTTTCTTCTGATTGGTCCTTGTGATACCTTCGTTTTGTTTTACGTCACTCAATCGAAAAGCGCCCTTAGTATTCAGTAACTCGTTAAACCAACGATGTTTAGAAGTTTTTCAAGGGATCCACAGATATTCCAACAATATAAATACCAAGAAGATCACATGTAATGAAATGCAAAATTACTGTAGGTAAAACATAGAAAAAATTAAAACCCTCCTACCTCGATGATGCTGATCACGTGACCAGCCAATCGCTTGATAGTATCAAGGAGCTGAGAGCTCAACTCAACAAACGGCTCATTAGTGATTTCAGTGGTGCCCCACATTCGCACATGCTCGACTAGCATTTGTACGGAGATGCTGGCAGAAACACAGCACTGTTGACCTTCTGTTTGGAGACCTGAAGAACGAAAGCGATTCAATGAAGATAACAGAAAGATAATTGTTAAACACAATGAATTAGAAAGGTAGACATATACAAAAAGTTTCTGAAAGAGAACCCCGAAAGGCACCTTAAGATCTAATATCGGGTGAAACACACATTTGTGTTCAGGTGTTCAGTTACTCCTTTTGTAAGTCGCCAAAGTCCGCCCAAGCTCGGAATTTTTCTTCTAAATTTATGAAGCTTGGCAAAAATAACGCCATGACAAACTTGAGGCAATCTTGACAAATGTTTTGGAGGTCGTATGACTTCAAGTTGAAAGAAGACTTCGTTTGTGTGATGAAACCATCATTAGGCAAGAGATATAAACAGTGACTACTCTCACAAGACATAAACCGCCATGATACCTTAACCCTTTAACTCCCATGAGTGATCAAGACAGAATTTCTCTTCACAATATTGATACAATATCAAGCAGACAAGTTAGGAGAATAAAGGAAAATATTAATTAGGGGATTATATGTTGATCCAATATCAAATTCTCCAAACTAACATCGCAACAACTATATGGCAGACATTAAGGAGAATTACTAATGAGATCTTGGGAGCTAAAGGGTTAAATAAGTTTTCCTCACCTCCGACAGACGTTTCTTTATCTTGAAATGCTTTTACGATGGTGGTAACACTTTTTTTAATCTCTTTCACGACTCTCAAAATTTTCTCATACATTGGCTCGCTAAACGGACCTGATAGAGCTGAAAAACAAACATCATGGTGTCGCATTAGTGACCAAGTACTTAAGGAAATTTGTCTCACTCTATGCAAAAACATACACGCCTGACGATCTACAAAAAAGTCACATGCATACCAATTCTAACCGGTTAAACAGAATTACTGTAACAAGATGTCAACTGATTAAACAATCCGATCAATAATTGTGTAACTTTTATTGCATTAGTAAATACCTTTCAATGAATCCACATAATTCTTCAGTGAATCTCTACAAAGTCTGGGTAAGGACGGTCCAGGTCGTCTGGTTTCGCTTCCTGTAAACAGTGAAAAATAGAAAAAAAAAAAAAAAAGAGAAGTTCGGGGTTTGCCAGAGAGCAATTTTGACTTTGAGTTCTCATTGGCTTCTTATAATATTTTCAGTCTTCTGATTGGCTGTAGCGATCGCTTTGGTCACAATCATTAGAAAAGCACTCATTGAGGAAGGTTATGAAAACAGTTTATCGTAAGCTTCGAAAATTAAAAATTCCACGTTGAAAAAAAATGTAAACAGAGAATTGAAAAATTGATTTTAGCCCGAAAAAACTCAACAGAACGAATCGATGAGTAGATGGAAAAGATTACCCTTACTTCGCCTATCGATTGGAGCCATAGGAGGTCTGCTGGGCGTGTCTGTAACAACAGGCCTTTCAGATGAAGTCCCTGGGACATCAGAAGGTGCCTCTGGAGCCTCTGTAGGTAACCCCGGGGTCTGTTTATTACGATACTTGGCGAATATACTTTCCGCTTTATTAGGAGAAAATCCTGAAACAAAAGGTGCGGTTAAACATGGTTATCGTTTGAATCAAACACCAGCCTCAAACAAAAATGAAAACACTCCACTAGAAATGGTTAAATGGTTAAATCGGAAGAAATGTCAGGACCTACCTTGTGCCTTTCCAGTCGAGGATGACCTGGTCCGACCTGACAGCCCTGAACTACTAGTGGAAGTACTGCGTCTGCAGAAGATTAAAAAAAACAAGTAATGATAAAGAGTTATATTAGAGTAAGATCTTAGCAGACTACAATTATTACCGCTTTAAATATGGCTTTGAAGGAGAGTAGCCACATATACCTGTTAGTTCCCGAGTCCAATTTGAAATCCTTCTCCCATTTATCATCCGGGTCATTAAAAGGATCAACTTCGTCCCCAGACTCTCCTGATATGCTGTCATTATCACGTTGCTGTTTTGAATAAAAACACATACTTCGACATTACGCTCAATGTGTCATACTGTATACTATATAGGCAAGTTAAGAGCCGTATTACACAGAAAAATGGGAAAATTGTGTTTTAAAAAAAATTCTATTCTCAACACCATCTTAAATTCCGTGTAGTATTTGGGATCGACTGAAAAGAGCTAACGAAAGAATCAGAAACTTAAAGAGAAAGAAAACAATCACTACCAACTCCTCGTGCGTCACTTAATACTTTTCATTCTCATTCACAACAAATCCCACTAGAGGAAGTCCTCTACTTTAATAATACCTGGTAAAGTTCTCTCATCTGTTCCAAGGCACTTTGAAATTTCTCCAAGGACCAAAGGGTTGTTAAACCTTTCTTTGTATTGTTCAAACGAATCTTCATTTCCGACTATCGATACAGGAAAATGCACAAAGTTAACCCTATATACCCTGACATCAGTATGCACATTCTCCTTACTTTCTTCTGTACATTTACTAAGCTGCTGACAAGAAGAATTTGCTTAACAATCAATAGCTTCTTTAGTTGGTAATCATTTCCATAATTCTCATGACGTTTACGTGCGATTCAAGGGCTATACTGTAAGGAGAAATTAAATGCTATTATATTATATTAGGGGTCAAAGGGGTGTTGATTTAGATGGTAAATGTAAAAAAAAACATGACACCAGGGTTACAGTCTCTCCCCACCCCCAACACACACACACACACACAGGCCGACTACTATTCTGTTAGACCTCTTCAAGAAATAAAGGAACTTCGTTATTAATCAGAACTGTGCAGCCAGATTCGCCAAATCTAACATTGTTGTCATTATTCTGAAACAGTTCTTTATAGAAATTAGGGAACGTTATTATCAATCAAAATCGTGTTGCTAGATATGTCAATTCTGAGTTAAACCACTACTATAGTAAATTTCTTGAAAGAAATAAAGGGAAACTAATCGTTCGAAAAAAAACCATTTTGGCCAGGGAGCTCAGAGTAATGGTGATTAGTGTTGACTGGATACGCGTGGTAGCGTAAGTTTATTAAAGCAATGTGACCTGCGTTGAAGTGTTAAAGAAGTTGAAGATCATTTCAGTCGTGGGATTGATGTACAAAACCATGACTGTACTGGTGTGAAAAAGGAACATGATTTCAACAAAGCAACGATTCAGATTTAAAATGTTAAAATAAAAAGCTCACGTGGGCAGTCAAAATTACCTTTCCGTCGACTACGACATCATCCCGGCTAAAGGTCTGCAATGGTATAAAGAAAATCTCAAAATTTTAGAAATGAAAGAACGATGTGGGGAAGAACGTGGTGTACAATAATCAACGACAAACAGATACGAAAGGAAATCGAAGGAGAAAGCAATAGTGAGACTGCATTACCAAAGTCATGACGACTTAAAAAAAAAAAATTAAAACCGAAAGTAATCCCAAGTTACTTTAAACAATCAACTGAAATTACTTTAGGGTTCAAACATGGAGAAGGACACTTACGATGTTCTTTGATAAGCTTTGGCTGATCTTGTTGGCCTCCCTTAAAGACATGGTGATACGTAACAATTCCTTCTTGTTCGGATCATCTGTGAAAGTGAGGGCACCGAGTCATTCGTGAAGGAAACAAAAGCAAACAAAAATAAAAAAAATCGACCGATTGTGAAGCATTCGGAGCATCGTGCACGTAAAACCCAACCAAACACTGAAACAAACCTCACTGTACTGACCTGCTAAGGAATTTTTCCTTCCGATACTATTAAAAGATGCCCTAAATTCCTCTCGTATTTTCTCGCGGTTTTGCTGAAGACACCAAACAAAATACATAATCAACAGCAAAACTCGTACAGAATAACTTTAAAATACAGAAATAAATAGTAAATTGAATCGACTACTCAGCATTTTTTTCGGGGTGGAGAATCTCTTCTGCCTGACTCCGGTAGGCAAGGCAGCAAGTACTCTAATTTTATTTTTCACATTTTTTTGTTATAGCCAATAAGGCCAGAGAGAGAACAAATAAAGATTGTTGTTATTGTTGTTGTTGTTGTTATTGTTGTTGCTATTGTATACTCGTACCTTGGCCTCCTTCAGCTTTAGTACATCATCTTGCATTTTCTTCTTTTCTTTTTCCAATTCTGTGATTATTCGTACCTGGTTCATTTTGGTTTCTTCTAAAGCCTACAAAGACAAAAGCAACACCAACACAAGATCGGTGGTCATTAGTTGCTGGAGTGTATTGACATGACGCGACAACTTGGCTACGTCATTCACCGAGTGAAGTGGAATGGTGAACAAGAATCAACCAACGAAGAGTGTCCGTGCCTTTGGTTCTTGTACCGCAAAAACGTTTTTTACTCATGGTGGGATCAAAAGGCTCACTATATTATATTAAGCCCTTACGAGAATCGTTAGTTCATGGTGAGATCAAATAGCCCACTATATTATATTGAGCCCTTACGATGATCGTTAGTTTATGGTGAGAGCAAAAGGCTCATTATATCATGTTGAGCCCTTACGAGGATCGTTAGTTCTCCTCTACTTAAGATGTTAAAAAGACGATAATTGTGACACTCTAAGTCCAAGTACCAACCAACTCGAAGAATAAGAATTTCAGCTCTCTTTTCCGGCTACTAACCTGTTTGGCAGCTAGTGCTTCCATTTGTAGTTTCTTTCTGTTGTTCAGGATTTCTTGTTCTAGAAGCTATGGAAAGGTGAGAGCAGAGTTATTTTCTGTCATTTATGCAGCCGTCGAACAAATATAAAGAACGAACAAAGGAAAGATTTGTGATTACAGTGAATGCATTTCATCACACTTTTGGAACAGCTCAATTTCAACTGACCAGTCTGTGTGCCTCTAATTCAGAAATCTTCTCCACTGCTGTTTGCTTCGACTGTTCAGCTTGTTCCTTTTCAGTGGTGAGAGATTCCTATAGAAATAAGAAACAACTTAGCTTTCCAATGTATTTTTAAATCGATCTTTGGCAACAAAACAATTATTCCAACCCTAGCAGCCCATCACTAGTGGAGCTCAGCCCAGTCTTCGTTGTGTTAGCCTGTGTCAGACTCGCGTGGAATGGAAACGAGCGAAAATTTGGGCGCACGAAACGGCGGAGGTCCGTGAAAGGAAGCTATTACGAAGCCGTTTCTCTGTCAATTGCAACCGCTGTTTGTCTCTTACAGGCTCTTCGCTCGTCTCCACTTATTAAGAGGCTGTAAGAGGCTATCGTAGCATAAGGCGACTGTTGCTATTCCTATTTGAGTAACCAAATCGTGATTGGTTTTAGTTTTTCATCCGATTGGTTAAGAGGTTGCGCGAGGTTTTTAAGACCAATCACAGAGTGTGGTGAAGAACGCAATCCCAGGTTACTTCCGACAATTAATTGAATTGCACTAACAGCCTTGAAAGAACAGGCTTCAACTAAAACAATCATCACTCACCATGGCTTCATGTAGATTTGACACCTTCTCCTCGTAGATTTGCTTCTGCTCCGTCATTTCTTGCTGGGCAGCCTCCTGCTCAAAAAAAAAAAATGGACGGTTACTAAACCCATCGATTTTCCACTCGTTCAGAGTTCCGCAATGATGATGATTACCTTTGCTTCCTGAATTCGAGCCACGATTTCCTCCTGAGCCTGGATTCTCGCTTCTTCTTTGGCTTCCTCGAGTTCCGCTTGCAGCCTGAGATAGGAAAGAAGATTGTCCATTAAAAAGCCTAGAGAGTTGAAATCAATCCGGACCGAATTTTTTAGTTCACGAGAAGAAGTTTAAAACCATGCGCTATTACCATCAGCGAAATGTTATACAGTTAATGCTCCCAAAAAATGTTCCTTCTGAGATTCCTTATCAACTCATTGCACTGTATATTATTGTGACGATCAACGCTAATCGTCATCAGGAAAAACAAAAAAATCCTCACTGGATTCCCCCCTCCCCCTTGGCACTCTCACCACGAACAGAAGTTTTCGAATGAGTATCGTAAAATCGAATCCGAATCCAAAGTAATCGCAACGGCCAGTTACAATAAAGGAAATATCACAAGAAGCCGATGAGAACCCACAAAACAAGCAAAATACGAGTGACCAAACGTAACAAAAAAACAAAGCAGTACCGTATCAGTGTCGAAACTAAACCGAAAGATCTCTCCAAACTAATCCAAAGTTACCTTGCATTCTGTGCTTGAGCCAATTCGTTCCTTGCAAACTCGAAGTCCTTTAAAACAGCAGCCTCTGGACTGCTCCCTTCTGGAGCTTCAGATTTACTCATCTTTCTCTTCTTCACTTCTTTAGGATGATTTAATCTAAAACAAAAACGTAGTTATCAATTTCAGTTGATGGACAGCGGTAACCTTTTGAATCGCTTTGAAATCATACAACTCCTCATTCGTTTGTTCCCATCAATACAAGAGAAAATGAAAATGGGAGAAAGAAGGAAGGCTGGAAATGTCCAGTACCTGAAAAAGTGATCCCCTCCAATAACCACACGATCAGCCTGCAAACAAAAGAGTGAGGACGGGTTAAAATAACAGGAGAATATCGACCACAAATTAAATCACAGTTCATGTCACTTACATGATGAAGAACTGTTTCTTCTACAATAAGCTGACCGTTGACGTAGGTTGGTGCATCTCCTACAACAAAAAGAGAGAGGAAATGCAAAATTTGAAGTCGTTACAAAAGAAGCAATACCAATAATAACTATCCAGTTGCTAAACGATCAAAAACATAAACCTGACAAGCTCTTAACCCTAAGGCACACAGACTTCAGCGTCTTTGTTTAAATCAGGACTTTAAAAGGCGAACAGAGAAGAAAAGCAAAAGCGCAAGTATTTTCTCCCCAAACATTTCCACCAGGATGTGTATTCTGACATCGACCAACGAAAATCGCATTTCTACCATAACACACCTAGAAGATCACACTCAGTATTCATTCTTTCAGCCCGTTTCACTTACGCTTGATGCGTAAAACAGGTAGAAGAGAATCAAGCGGCGATCAATGCACGATAGGGAAAAAAGAACGATATAATTTACCAATCGGTGAAACTGTAACCTTGTCCCCGTTATTTCGCAAGACACTAAAAGGAAAAACAAAACCCAAGTTATATAATGTAACTAACATTTAAATTGCATAACAAACCAAAACAAAAAATTCGATTTGATTGAGTATCGACTGACCAGTGTGTTTCAGCAACAAGTGCACCGCTTAGTTTAATATCATGATCATTCTGACCAACCGTTGTCTCTCCTGTAGAAGGAAAGCAGAATTGATAAAAAGGCAAGAGAATGAAATCCAGCTCGCCATCTAACTCTGGATTACCTATTGAACCCCTTAGCGTGTCTAACATCTAATTCTTCCTCACAGAATAACCGCTGAATCAAACCGCATAAAGGTCACGAGAATGAAGGAAACAATCTACAACTTTGTAAATTCTTGACAAATTCTCCTTGTCAGTACAATGGAAATGTAAGCAGAACAGTATGAGAATATTACTACTGAAGTTAGTGTGAGGCATTTCTAGGAATTTGCCCACTTTCTTGGTGATCGAGAAAATTTCCTTGGGGAAAACAAGGAAACTGACCATACGGTTTTAAAAAATTTTTTCTTCAAGCCTGTAACTTTGGCGTCAGAAGACAGAAGGAAACCAACCAAACAGTTGCACCTTTGATCTAAGAACAGAAGTTTCAGGAACGCAAACCTTCTTTCAGCATATACAGCAACATTTCCGACAGCTGAGGATCTTCGTTCAAATTGACGAGGTTCGGTAACCGATTATCCACTTTAAAAGAGATGCCAGCTTTCTGTGACGAAAGACAGAAAAGAAAACGCAGTTTAATTAAGGATTACGCTAAGGGAAAAGCTTTTATGTAGACGCAAGTGTCTAGTGATGCATTCATTATACCTTGAGCTTTTCTGCTTCTTCCAGCTTCCTTTTCTCCGTCAACGCAAGTTTTTCCTGCCAGTTCCTTAAAAGCGAAGCACAGAAACAACAGACATCAAATATACCATCTAAGAAATAGCCTGAAAAACTTTCACTATAATCTAAGAGAAGTCACTTGTGACAGCAGGTTTAGTTATTAGTTGGTGACACGAGTGAAACCGCGTTCAGAAATGAAGTGATTAATAATGGTAATAGGACTGAGTGGAGTCCAATTCGGTTTGTAATCATACAAGTACTTGACAAAATCCGATTTGTTAATCAGGAGTATGATTACAGACAGAATTGGACTTCACTCAGTCCTATTACCAATTTATAATAACTGTTACAATTTCCGAAAAAACAAATACATTTAGGACAAACATCTCTGACAAATTTCCCAGTTTTTTGTTGTTGTTGTTTCAGGATAAGTGGTTGTTTCTATGGTTATTGTGATCAATTCTGTGATTGGTGGATCTAGCTGAGCGGACTTAGTATGATTGGCTGCTTCAACTGTCCGATTACAGGTGTCCGATTACAGCCAACTCTCCGATTACACTCTGTGATTGTACAGACTGAAATTGTCGTCTCAAAACAATGAAACACGATTCCATACTTGTTAAGGAAGGAACGCAGATGAACGGTATTGAAAAGAAACTGTTCCAAAATCAGTACGTTCAGAAAATCATACTTTGTTAAGATCGACATGAAAATCAAAGAAAGATTGTTCAAGTGTTGTTGGATTAGAAAAATTTCCCGCCATTTTCTCTAACGTAAATTTCGCCGCCGGGACAAAACCTCGACAAAAAAAGAAGTAAAGAATGAGGAACGAAAAAAATCAAACACACTCACGGATCTTCGATTCACGTAACACACACAAAAAGAAATGCCGACGGAAAGAAAAGAAAAAAAAATTGCGCACACAGACTCACTCACCGAGTTGACTCAGCCAATAGGTGTTGTGTCTCCTTAAGTTTCTCTCTCAACGAGGCAACTTCTGCCAGAGCTCTGGCGCTTATCTGCTGGTTCCCCTCAACGTGAGACTGTTTCAACCTCTCGATCTCAGCTTTTAATTCTGGAGAAAAATTAAAAAGGTTACTCTGAATCTCAGGGGAAGATTCACCAAGCCATGGACGGTTCACACCATCCTCAACAACTCTTCGCCACTCTATATCCCTAGAGAGAGAGAAGGGGGGGAGGGAGGGGAAGGTGAAAGGTACCCCGCCCTTCACTTCGGACAGTTGTTGGGCACTTCGGTGCTAGTCGAGCCTTACCCAGTTGTATCAGTAACAACTCGACCAAAGAAAAGACATCGGTCAAACAGGTTACAAAAAAAGAGTAGCTGTACCCTATATTATGTTGTAAACCACATTAAATTTTCTTCCTGAAAATTTTTTTTCCTGTGGTCCATTTCTTTCATCGTGTTCTCTTGTTTACAAACACTTCTACAGTGGCAAAACACATTTTATAATCACCAACATGTACCACTCACATTTTATCAACTTACCTCTTATGATTTTTGCATTTGGATCCTCGTTAATGATTGCTCTGTTGACGATCGTACGCGCTCTCTGAGCATATTTGAGAGTAGTCAAGAAAAGAAGGAACAGTACCTAGCTGTGTTAACCTATTGGGTGCCAATCACCTGAGTCACCTGAATCACTAATGAAAATATAAATACTTTTATGAAATAATATATCAATGATATAATAAATAACTCGTGGTGAAATTTCTTTACATGGCAGAAAGAACCCATTAAAATTTGCCCTGTCTCAAACATGTGGCACCGTAGTTGATAGTACCGTCCAACGTGTAGCGAGGGGGCACAGGTTTAATTTCATCAAAGCTTGATCATTTTTTTGGGTTCTCCTATCAAAAATTATAATTGCAGCTTACATGTTGTGAGGACCAATGAGCCACAAGTAACAGTGATAATAACTTCTCTCTTCAACTTGGAGAGCAGGAGAATCACAAAAATATAAAAGAATGTCAAGAGGCATGGCAAAATATTATTTTCACTTGGAAGGAAGCTCTGATTTCTGTCAAAAAGGATATCTCAATGTACTCAGTGATTCTCCAAATGAAGTGCTTGCAGGGCTGATGTTTGCTATCATCGCTGTCTTAGAGTTTCCCCCCAAACTGTCCTTCAGTAACCTGCAAAGTACAAGAACCATGTTTATTTCATTTTTTCACTTGTGACTGCTCAATAATTGTTAGCCACCTTGAGAGGGCCAAAGCTTCAATGGCAACAAAGAATAGTAAGAATCAATCCACCAACTACTAGGCAATCAAAGTCTGAAATACTGAATTATTTCTTTTACAGATACTTTGTATCCTATACACTCAGTAAAAAAAACATTTACCAAATACATGTACCTACCATGTCAGAGTGGAGTCTCGGTAAGGTATGTACATTTTCTTCTTAGACTGAGCTTCTCTGTCTGACAGTAGAGATATCACTTTACCAAGTGTATGTAAGGACTTGTTGATACTGCCTCCTTCCTGAAATTAAAAAACATAAACTCCTCCATTTTGTTTTTCTTCCTTTTCTCACTTAGCATACTGGGCAAGGCATTTCTTTATTTCATTTTGTTTTTTTTCCTTTGCATAACTATCCTTTAGGAAACTTTGATAAGTTGTGAAGTTCTTGCAAAAAGCTCTAGGAATCAATTTCAAGATACAAATTCTGGCATGGTTCTTCTGTCATTAATAAATGTCTTAGACTGATTTGCTAAAATAATAATTGTTTCCATATAAACAGATTTGCTATGTGCAAGGTATGCCAGAAATAATCACTCATACTTGAGTGGGTTGAACACACAAGATAATTAATGATATTTAACAAGTGGCCTGTCCTTTGGACATTTTTTTGGATATTACCTTGAGTCTTAGTGCTGCCGTCTCTGATGTCTTGATCACCTGGTCATTTAACACCTGACTTGCTCTCTCACTTCCAGCCAAGTCAATCAGATTTATTTTACTTGCTGTGGTCATCTGTGTTTCTGAATCTTCAAATATTTCAGTCTATAAGTAAAAAAGAGATTAACAATCATTATAATGTATAATTTATAAACCACCCTAAAATAAAAAATGAAAACTGTTCTGAAAACCATTAAATATGTTGTATTTTCTCACCTTAAGGCACATTTAACTAATTCATGTTGATCTGAAAGTGTTCAAGATCAATCTATGAAGAAGCTAATATACATATGACAGACAGTATACTGTATGGGGTGAGTAGGGAAGGGTACACACAATTCATACTTTCTCTCGGAAATGATTTTCCAAGGCCAAAGTCACAACAAAGCAGACTAAATATATTATCTCTTGACCATCACTGAAAGGGCTGAGATTTATTTAAAAAGGAAAGCAAAGTATTTCATTTTAGGATTAAAGCCTTCATTTTCTCACATGAAACTCCATCAAAATGAATGCATAACTCAAAGATCATAGTCTAAAGACAAACAAGTTTGTTTGCTTTACCCTTGTCTGTGTCATGATTATGGTGAAAACAGAGTGAGAGCGACTGCTCTTGTCATTCATTCCCGTGGCTGCTGTTGCTCTGATACTATTTCCAACAGCTAGCCAAGACTGGAGAGAAAAAAGGAAGGAAGACAAAAAATGATACAAACTCAAATTAGCTTTCAAGTACATCTACACATGCAGTCATCTTTATCTTTGGTCTGATAGAGTAAAATAATAATTACTTATCATATCTATTCAGATGAGCAAACCTCAGGAGCATTCCAAACAGAATTTAATTCAAAATTAATTGTAGTGAAGCATAGTTAATGGCTCAGACAATTTCTGTTTGCCTCCAGTGACTTAGAATTTGATATCAGATGCCTGCATAAGAACCTGATTTATTTGCAACCAGGCGACATCGATGGAATTATCTTTCCTCATTGGCCCATTTCCATGAGCTGACATTACTAGCAAGATGTTTTGATTTCTTATGACATGACTTACAAATGTTGAAACCTGATGCAAATCGTACAAAAATAACTCATTAATTAATGTAAAATGTCTCAAAATAACGATTAAGACTATTGTGGAAATCAACTCTGGAAGATTAGTAGTATTGACTCTAAAGTCCACATAGTAAGTGATGATGTTCTTCCTCACCTCAACATCTGCATATGAACTTGCAGTGTACCTGAAGAGGAATCCAAGAAAAACATATTGAAGATTCTTCAGGCACAAAGCAGGATCACTGAGTTACTAAGAAGTACTCACTTGAAAAAAGGAAACTTTAAAATTTATTGGGAGTACTAAAAATTGCAAATGTATAGAATGAAACAAACAATTTTCAGACTTACCAAGACAAATAAATAAAGTGAAAAACAACTACACAGTGTCTCTATCAAATTCTAGTTATCCAATATATGTAAAGAGAATTGTACACAACAGCTGCAGATCTAAGGAAGGGGTACAGGGGTTGCAAAACCCACTTCCCCCCCTCTGCTCCTGAGATGACCCTCTGCTTTCTAATAATTACTATTATGTGTTGTCAGCTGTTTACGTTATAATTAAGCCATCTTCTTAAAATTTGTTCAAGTCACCCATGAGTGATGTCATTCCTTAGAGTGGTGCATCCTCTCCAAAGAAAAACCCTAGATCTGCCCTTGCACAAGCTATAAAAATATAATGTTACATGAATGGTACTTACGTAGTCAGATCTTGAACAAATGGTCCCAAGATTGGGTGCTCTCTGACCCTCAACTGCCAAAAATGACAATATAGTTGTAATTAAATGAAAGGCTAAATGTTTAAAGAGCCTTTGTGTAATTTTTGGCTGAGTCATTTTAATTCCTTTTCACTCATTACCACATTACTATTATTAGTATTGAAGTTATTAATAATAATTTTGACAACTTCATCTATACTCAGTACTTCTGTCCCCTAATGATGCAAATTGTACTTCTAAAACATTATGTACACATTCATTTTTCAAAGTTTATTGATGTGTCATAAGAATTCATGCAGTGCATAATTTACCTGGGCCCTTTTGCCATCTTTCTTTTTACTTGATGCCAATAAGTCATGAATCCTCTCATTATAGATTTCAAAGTAACTTATTTCCACTGTGAACTGCAGCTGTGCACATCAAGGAAAAGAAAAAAATCAAAGAATTGTACAACTATCTTATCTTTACCAAATTTATTAAGAACTTTCAATTGGAAAGGGGAAATGGCAACAGCAGAGAGGCAGTATGCTTATATAAAAAAAAACAACAACAACTGGAAAACAAAATTGGGACAATTACTTCAGGTACTTAAACTGTTTCTTAAAAAAAAACAAATCTCATTTTCCTCCCACAAGTAAAAAGGAAAGATGAAGTTTACCTCTTTCCAACATTTGATCCTCTCAAACAACTCCTCACAGAATCTTGGCAAAATACCAATTTCATCTCCCTGGCCCATAACACTGCATAAAATAAGAGATCAGTTACTGGAAGGAAAGTGACAAAAGTTCCATACTTAATGCAAAAGATACATATACCCATGCATTTCATTTAGCAGCTACCAGTAGCTTTATAAGGTGAGACACAAGAATCTATTAATGTTCAAGACTCACCTATAAGACTTCCCTGATCCTGTCTGTAAGGAGGAAAATATTAGTGAAATTAAATTCAATGTTTACAAAAGTCAGAGCTTTACAGGTTATTGAATCACAGCTCAGAATATTGTTATATCAGGTGACATGAGAAGAGGCAACCTCGTGGCAAGAGGAAGACCAGCAGTAATAAATTGTCATACTCCAAAATGTGACACTCCACTTTGGAAGTGATTATGTCAGGAGACAAATGATTACCTATAAAAATATTTTTAATCATCATCAAATCTTATCAATTAACAAGGGTGTCTTCAAAGTATTTTAAAGCTTACTTTCAGTACAGTATGATTGATTCCCATCTCAATTATTTTGATGTAATTTAATTATCAGATGTAAGTATAGTTAATCTTAGCTGAGTAGTCATCTCATAGGTAGTGCGAACTCATAATAAGTGATATTAAGGTGGAATGTGATTTGAAAAGGTAACCAACACCTTTTGATTAATCCTGAGTGTATTCTATAACTAGAGATATAGGATAATCATTTTCTGTAAAAATTTTAATCCTCTATATCCTCACATCAATAATTCATCTTCCTTACACCTTCTCTACATACTTCCTGCGACACTGGTACAGTGAATTTGTTTACTAATCAAGAGTGTCTTTGTTCTCATGACCTTTAAAAATTTGTTTCCATGGTGATACTGCGGGGAGAAATTACATGCCAGTCCCTCACGCATGAGTTTACATTTACATACCTGACCATAGGCAAAAAGACAGGTGTTATATCCCTCAAAAGCACTGTTTAGAAGAGGCTGTCCCATCAACTTGTAAAGCTTCTCTTGGTCAACATAGTTAGGGTCTTTAGGATCAAATGACCAAATGGAATAATCGTAATTGAACTGATATTCCATACCAGCATCTGAAGTGATAATAGTTTCATGATCCTTCATAGAGATACACAGCTTCACATTTGGGTCCTTCTCCTCTCTGTGGATAATAAACAAGAATGTATCACTTTGAAGGAAGTAACTCATAAGACTGTACACCAAATACAAGCTGTATCACACAAATAATTTGACTAAAACTCAATGAGTATTAAAGACAGAGGTTCAGAAAGCTATTCAGGAAACTGATAGCTATTATTGCACCCTGGTACAATTTTCTGCAAGTTAGCAACCATTTCTCTTCCACTGATGAACTAATATTTAAGCCTGGTTACTGCTCACAAGGAAAACTTATCATCAAGATTTATGAGACATGATCTTTGAGGTTCAGTTCTTGGATATATGGGTAGGTGGTTTAATACAAGGGAAAATTTGTAACTTGTTAACAAAATTTGAATCACAGAAATTACTTTGATCTCTGAAACCAAGCTAGCTAACTTTTATTTATGAAAACATGTTAAATATTTGTGAAAAGAATAGGGTGGTGAGGCAATGACTCAAAAAAAAAATGAAGTAATCCATGCAGAAAGGGCTTGAATGAACTAGACCTTGGAGATGTTAATATGAGGGCAGGGCTTAAAATTAATACATTGTGGTTTTTTTTTTGTTTTGTTTTTAACTCATCTTATTAAAGACAGGGCTGAAAAAAGGAAAATTCACAAGATTAAAACACTGCCATTTGTCTTTGTAAGTCTCCTGCAGCTCATAGAGAGGCTATTAATTCAGGGCAAGATCCCGGATCTGACACTGACATTAGCACTTTCAGTTTGTCAGATATCTTTCCTGGTACATTATACAGTTATAACATTGCAACTTCGCTTTGAAACTAAAAATAACTTTTGCTTTCTAATCACCACACTTTCAGATTACACAGTGCAAACAAATGCTAATTGCCAATTGTAATTTGTCGCATCTGTGCTATGATTGACACCTCTACTTAGTTTGTTTATTCAGATAAGAGAAAGAGTAATATTCGTTCGCGTGAATTTGCAAATTCCAAGAGCATTTCTTGAGTTGCATAGTTTGAATACTATATTGATCTCAAACAGGCTAAAGTGGAAAAAGAACACTTATAAGTTGATAGTGATCAATGAGACAAGAGAGCTAACTCAACCATTTTAAAGCCTCTTTTATTAAACATGGGATTATCTCTAAGTCTTTTTGAAAAGAAACAATGGAGTTGATCACCCAAGATGGACACAAATGAAGTAAAGAGTTTTTAATTAACGCGTCATTGAGAAAGAATGTAATTTTGTAAACAAGACTGGCACGACGCAAGATTTCTTGACTGCTTTACAGAACCTTTGATCGTGCAGTAACAACGAAGTCGAAGGAAGCGACCGAACTCGAGAGCAACTCGAACACGTTCTAAACAACATCCGGTCAAACTGAAGTCACACAAGTAGGGACTCACACAATATCGCAAAGCATGTTTCATTGTTCTCTACAGTGCACATATATCGAAAGAAAAACCCCCAACTTTCGTCGCCAAACAGCTTTTTCGCGAAAACAAATACCAAATCTTAAACAACTGCTTCACATGTTCGTGATCATGATAAACATTAAATGTGATATTGTAATTGTACATTACACGCTCACCAAACACCAAACAAACAAACAACTTTTAAATGGCAGACTGTTTCCCGCTCGAGACAATTCTTATGGTCAATTCTTATCGCATTAACACAAAAAAGTATCACATTACCTTGGTAAGAAAGGTCGAACTCTCACACCAACCCTCACACTCGAACCCTCTCCATCGCCATCAGCGGAAGACACTTGTTGCGGTGCTGTTGACATGGATGGTTTTAAAGCCGGCGGAACACCTGAATCCATTTTGTCTTCAAAGCCCTTCCCTCCATCATTGCCTTTCAACAACCCCAACGTGGATTGCAGTTTATTGATAATCAAAGAAGAATCGTCATACGGTTTGGTCGACGAAGGATCACTTTCTGTATTTGTAACCAGGTGTTCCTCAATAAACTGGGGTGTCATTGGCAGAACACGCGCGATCTTTTTCTCCGAACCAATTGTCCCTGATGTCTCTTCTTTGACCACGTTTCCTTCCCCTGATGTCTGTGATGTGCTGGAAAACTTGTCTATAATCCCAGCCACCATCGGCCCCACAGTTGCCTTACGTGTTGCTCGCGGAGAGTTTAAAGGAGAACTTGTGTTGGAACCACTCTCGCTTGAGGAAAGATCCTTCCTTCTTGAAATCAACTCTGTTGATGGTGCCTTCGAATTCATAATCGTGCCGTTCTTTTGCTTCTGCTGTGAGGGGTAGTTTCTGTTCTTCGTCACGTCAACGCGTGCAGAGTCCAAATTTGTTTTCTTGGAGATAACTTTCGACGATTTCGGCGTCGTTGTAACCATGCGATCAGAACTAGCCGCTTTATTAGAAGGAAGGCTTGGAAGCGCGCGCTTCCCTCTTGTTTTTGTAGGAGTAGACATAGCTTATAGCACAAACAAAAAAGTACAAAACACAAAATCAGCAATTTCCACCACAGAACAACATAATCTGTCAAGTTTCAAAATAACGACCGCGACCACCACAATCGGCTGACCATCACGAAAATTAAATTCCGCTGATTTTGAAAGATGATCCTTTGACTTCGTAAGTAAATAACCAATGAAATACCAAGAATTCAGCACGTGATAATTTCAAGATCCCGCGGGAATTGCTCTAGAACTCAGTCTTTCTCGGATTGATATGATCAAGATGGCGGAGGCAGCAGTGCGTACCCGATTGAATAACCATGAAACAATTGTTATTCTTTCCCGTGGCATTACTACCAATTATCATCTGAGTGCAAATGTCATCAAAGCATGTATTCACTGAGGAAATGGTTGGTTTTGATCCAGGTCGTGAAGAGAAGAAGATATCTTCAACCCAGTATGGAGTGTGTGGTTCTGTGTCTGGGCTGGTAACTCGGCTGGTGGTTCAACCGTTCGATGTCCTTAAAATACGATTTCAACTTCAGATTGAACCTACATCCAAGGTGATGAATTATTTCATGAAGGCTAAGTAAGTTTCTGTTAGTTTTATTCCAAGAAAGTGGCCATACCAAAGATCTGAGCAAGCTCATCTTCCTGTTGCATCAGGCTATCAGCTATGTGATACCACAAGTGGCCCAAGCTCCTATGAGGAACCATTTGTGTTAAAATTTTACATCGTCAGTGATAATACTCAATCGTTAGTGCCAATTATAAATTTTAAATGCAAATAAATTTATTTTCCGTTCTTAAATGGTCAGTTGCTAGTGCAGAACCTCAATCGCTTGTGTCGTTGCACCAAACGCCGTTGTTTGACTTCAATCAAAAGCGCTAATAATAAATTGCTTGTGTTCCGAGGCAGATCGAAAGCGCTAAACATCAATCATAGGTTTTTGGTCAAATTCTCAATAACAAAATACCACGCCTTACCTCCAAGTGCATCGCTTGTGGTCTGAATGTTAACTATGTTGAAACGAGGCCACTTAAGCGAGTTATCCATTTCTAGGTTTCCTACTCCTAAGAGAGGCTGGAGCTTGGGCTGCCTGTGGGATTTTTCGCTTCTCGGATCGGGCGTGTGCAGCGTTGTCTTTCACTTATGTAGTAAACCTAGAAATAGGTAACTTGCTAAAATGGGTTATTTTCAACATAGTAAGCGGTCAGACAACAAGGGATGCATTGTGGAAGTAAGGTGAGGTATTTTTATTGAGAATTTTGAATGTCACTACTGTAAAATGAATGTTTATCTCTGTTTTATCTCTGTGATAGAAAATAACCACAGGTAAATACTCAGGAATATGGCAAGCATTCAAACTTATTTATAAAGAGGAGGGATTTACTTCACTTTGGTAAGCAAATTGCCAGTATGCATTCTCAAGTTAAAAATATTAGTTGTGTTTATGTTGTGATTCAGTTTTCTCCTTGGTTTGAGCCATAATTTTTTTGTCTCAAACTCATCATTGTACATTAAACACACCTGAAAGTAACTGAGGAAAATATAATTTGGAAATGTTCCATGGATAAAATTGAGTAGCATATAGAGTTTTAGAAGAGCTATGTTTGAAAAGTAAGAACATATCAATAATTACCCTCTAACAATAGTAGTCATCTGTCTGTCTTCAAAAGACGATGGAGTAGTGTTAGTTGGATTTGATGCGGCATCTTTACGAGTGGCTATAGAGGTGTGACATGTGAAAACAGACACTTGCTGAGGTTGCTGATAAATGCCTTCCTCCTGTGTCTCGTTTAAGCGAGATGTTCAGTCCTCATCTTCTCAGCTTCAAGTATAACTTGTTGTATAACATACATGAATTCAGTAGTGAACGGTTATCTATTTAAATTGTAACAGGAAAGGGCATGTTCCTGCTCAAGCTCTATCAGTTGTTTATGGATATTTTCAGGTTAGCTTTAACCAATATTCTTTAACAAGTTTTTTTACTAGTAAATAAGAATACTAAAAGTTTATTGTGATGTTCTTTTTCTTTTTAATCCAGTTCACTGCTTTTGAAGCCATTACAGAGGTTATGTGGAGAGTAAATCCTAAATGTATAGATCAGAAATGGAAACCAGGTTAAATTTTTTTGTGCTTTTCTTAAAACTCTTAGAATTCCTAAGGCGTTCTTATGATAAAGGTATAATTTACATCACATCATCAGTTTGTTTGTCATTCCAAGTTACCAACTACAATGGTAAGCAAGCTATGCACTGGTTTAATTGAACATATCTTTGTTTATTTATTTTTTTTTTCAATACAGTGACACATTTTGTATGTGGAGGGCTTGCTGGATGTCTTTCATCAACAGTAGCACAACCTTTAGATGTTTTACGAACAAGGCTTGTGGCACAAGGAGAACCTAAAGTAACAAATATTTTCATTTTTTCTTGTCTATTTTCTTCATGATCACACCCTTTAAATCAGCTTCATAATGGCCAACTATTTGCTGTTTGCCTGTGGTCATTTTCACCCTTTCGAACATTTTAATTTTCTCCTTATTTACCCTCTCATTTATCCAAATATATAGGTTTACAAGAATCTTGTCCAAGCTGCTAGTAAGATGTATGCTAAAGAGGGGATCAGATCATTCTATAAAGGTAAAAACGTCACAGGTTATGTTGTGATGTATACTGTATGAAGTAATATTATATACACCAAGTAAACAACTGTCTTAGTCAATATAATTTGACACTTAATAGCAACTAGGATGTAATATCTCCTCACAATATCACCCTAGAATCACACAACAGTGTGACAAGAATGAAGGAAATGATCACCAACTAATGCTCTTGATTGTTAGACAAATTCTTCTTGTCAGTACCTGATGTAACATATGTAGAACAGTATGGAATATATGCAAACTAACATGATGTATTCTTGGACTATCTAATCTGATCATATTTAAGTATTACTGCATGGCCCTTACTGTTCTTCTTTCAGTATTTTCTACCCCATTCTTCACACTGATTAACACTTACATTATTTTTTGCTAATTCTTAGGAATTTGTGCTTACAAAAAGGAAAGGAACTCTTTGATGAAAATCATTTTTTAAATCTTGTGACCAATCTACTTCATGGTGTATTGAATTTTAAGGATAATTTCACTCCTAGGAAACAAAGTGTTTGGCTATTGCCAGTCAGAATGATTTCCACTTGCATTATCAAGGTAAATTAGTTGTTTTCATCATAGAATTATCAACACTTTCTCTTTGTCTTTTCAGGACTTGTTCCTACCCTAGTGCAGATTTTCCCTCATGCTGGGCTTCAATTTGGCTTTTATTCATTTTTCAAGACCCTTTGGGAAATCTCATTTGGGGTTAAGGTATGCTGGTGTTAATGTTGTAGATTAGAAGTGTTTGGATGTTCAACAATCAAATGTTACTTCTGCTCATTTAGGGTAAATACAACTTGTTTACAATTGGTTATGTGGAGAATTTTCCATGGATGCATACTTGGTTTTTTCTGAGCCTATCAGGTCTTGTCTATAAGTTTGCAATTTTACTCAATAGGGATGTTCAAAATAAATCAGTTTGAAAAAAAAATTTGTTTGGGGTGTTCTCTTTAGCCATGCAGCCAGCTGTTAATTTTGCTCAGTGGATTAAGAACCAAGATGCTGCTTGATAAGTAAAGAACATCTTTAATTATTATTTGATAATCAGACGATTTAAGAAGTCAAATTTATATCTAATATTATTATATATATTTCCTTCTTGGCATCTTCAACTAGAAAAAAAAATTTTCTATGCAAATGATCATTATTATTAGTAGTGTTAGAGTACCCCTCAAAATACTGCTATCCAACAGAAAGTTATTACTTTCATGTTTAGTGTCTGAGCTAACAAATTGTTCTGTTTGGAAGAAGTTTATTAGTTCTTCTAAGATGTAAAATATGTGTTTTACTACAGAGGCAAGATCCTTACAAAGCTGCAGGGGTCAATGAAAGTCTTGTTTGTGGAGCGTTAGCAGGAATTTTTAGCAAAGGGACTATTTATCCTCTAGATATGGTGAAGAAGAGGTTACAGGTGTGGTGATGTAAATACTCAACTTTAATTAATGCTAGAACATTTTAGAAGTATGGGTGACTTTGGTTGAATTTCAATTTGGTTTTATCAAATGAGTTTATGATGTAAATTTTAATCCCCCCACCAATGCAGCACCGTAGTTTCCTAACCCTTTTACTCCCAAGATCTAATAGTTAATTCTCCCATCTAGCATCTACGCATTTCCTTGTAAATAAGTTACAAGAATTTGGTATTACACTGTAGATCAAGACAACAACTTCTATCTGATAAGTTTCAATATTCTCATTACCTGTTTGCTGAATAGTGTACAGATGTCATAGGGAGATGTTAATCACTTTTTCAAACTTACCTCCTTTATTTATTTCTGTTTACATGTACATGTTGTATGGAAACTTGTGGGAATGTTGGGTACAGTGTTTGTTTGCCGTTAACCCAAAACCTTCATTTACTAAAGGTGTTGGGCTAGCGACTTACAAAATCTGTAGGATGCCATGCCAGTTGAATCTTACCTGAATACTAACTGTGACTCAAACTACTTGCTTCTTTGGTAGATGCAATCACAAGTTATCATAGGATTTCCTTTGCATGTCATTTCATGATTTATTAATTTTAAATTCCTGTCACTCTCATGGTGTGTTTTCTAGCGTACTATATCATTAATTTGTATTACTTTATGTAAAGCATTTATTCATTTTAACTTGTATTGAGATTTTCAAAAACTGGCATACATTTTAAAGTTAACTGCTTTTAATTACTTTGTTTGATCTTGTGTTATTTTGAAATCTTATTTTGTCATTTGGTCTAAGAATGATGAAACCTTATCTTACAGATTGTATCTTCTAGAAACCTCAGCTTCAGTTTTGACAGAAAAGAATTGATTGATTGATTTTAGATCTTTGTCATTGTACCCTCTAGCTGATGTAAATTTTGCTCTTGTGAAATAAATATTTCATAATTTTAATTTTTGCTTTTGTTGTTGTTTTTTTTCCACTGCTAAAGATACAAGGATTCCAAGAAGCAAGGGAGACATTTGGAAGAGTTCAGAAATATAATGGCATGTTAGACTGCTTCAGGATTATTCTTAGGGAAGAAGGTGCTTTTGGTTTTTTCAAAGGACTGGCCCCAAGTACGCTTAAGGTGAGAAGGATGCAGCCATTATCTCTTTACTCACATGGGACCTCTCTCCATCCAGGAGAATGACTGGGTTGTAGCAAATTAACAGCAAAGCCTGTGGAAATGCTGAAGGGTAACTTGAGGTGGATTAGCATACCACCAGGAGAAGTAAAATACCACCAGTTGCTTCATGCTAAGCAAACCATAATTAACTCTTAAACTCCCAAGATCTCATTAGTAATTCTCCTTACTGTCTGCCATACAGTTCTTGTGATGTTAGTTTTGAGAAATCGGTGTTAGATCAGCTAATAATCCTCTAACTGATATTTTTCTTATTCTCATCACTTGTCTGCTTGATATTGTACTGATATTGTAAGGAGAAATTCTGTCTTGGTCATTTTTGGGAGTTAAAGGGTTAACTCTTAGACCCCTAAGAGTGACTAGCTTCTAATTTCTCCTTATAATATCACCCCTGAATCAAACTTAAAGGAAATGATTGCTAACTAGAGCCACTCCTGACTATTAAACAAATTCTCCTTGTCAGCACCTTATGTAATATATAGAGGACAGTATGGAGAATACACATTCTGATCTTGGGGTGTAAAGGGTTGACTCTAGCCAGAAAGGGTCCTAAGTTCCTAGGCAAACTCTACCTTACAACAAAATAACTTGTTTGTTCTATTCCAGGCTGGTTTGTCTGTGGCACTCATTTTCTGTACCTACGAACAATGCATTATGCTTGTGAGAGAATACTTGCATGATGACAATACACTGGAATCAACCAGATGACACCAATAGGGTGACCAAATACTAGACTGAATGCTCTCCTTCAAGGGAAATATGAATCAAAAATAAGTAATTCTACAGTTAATTTTCTACAAAGCTGTTATTACACAGGTGTTGAAACTCTTATTTACTATTTTGCAGAATATACATTAAATGATATCAACTTAATATGATTATTTTATATATCAAATTCATTTTGATTCAGTTTGTATGCATTTAATAACTGGTTTCATTTTACTATTAATAGTGCATTATGGAATATTTAACAATGAATAAAAAACTTATATAATTTGCATCAGGATCATAGGTGCTGTAGACAACCAATCACATATTGGCTAAAACCAAGAAAGACGACATTTTCAATTTATCTGAAAAGGCCCAATACTTATTTATGTTATCAGAGAATCACACCAACTAAATTATGGAGGAAAAAAAACAGCATAATTGGTGGTTTTCATTTAATTATAAGAGAATGTTATTTTTGGTGATAAAAAAGTTGCAAGAATATTTTACAAACTATTGATATTAAAACTTAAGAATGCTGTGGTTATTCTTTCTGATACATATGAAAATAATATTTTCTTGCAAATAGCAAGATACTTGTATTCATTTTTTAATATATGTATATTTTAAGTAAAGAACCTAATCTTACCAATGGACACATTGTGCAAATAAAGATATTCCTTACAAGTTACATTACATTTTGTTTCTTGATATTGTCTGATTTTTCAATATCATGTTACTTGTAACTTTATTTATGACTCATTGAATATTTTTGCTCACATGCATTAGTCTAAACACATCATTTGACCAGAAATATTCACCAGCTAAAACTGGGGGATATCCGAGGTCATCATTCAGGTGATATTCCCCAATTTTTAAACCTTACATCCACTATGATAAGTCTTTGTTTAAAATTTAATTCATGATGTGTTACAGAAAAAGGGAAACATTTATTTGTTCATAAAGTTGTACCAGAAAACACTTAGAAGAAACATCCCATGCAGCAAAACAGTAAGCTGTTTGTAAACATTTTTCATTTGGGTTACAAAATATTTGAAGGATAATGAACACACATCAGCCTATATTTGGTGCAAAAATATGCTCATATATTTGTCCTTGGACATTATCTGTTCTTTGAAGCTCACAGTTTTCCTCTAGCTTCTCTCTCCGAACATCTTTTGCATCTTGGAACACATAATGTTCATGGACAAATATCCATGCATATTTTTTGCTTCAAAAAGAGGCTATTGTTTATACACTGATAATGAAACACATCTCAGGCAGGGCATTTACCCTATCTGTTTATCTATACATAAATGTACTTAGTGGTAGTTCAAGCATTTTGTTTTGTTTTATTGTTTTAACAACTCTTGGCAGAGATCTTAGACCAATCCCAGTTCACTGGCTATAGCACTCTTTTATTAATTCAAGTTGTGAATTCAATGGTCATTACAAGTTTGCATGGTTAACCCTTTCACCATTCCTTCAAATTTTGGCTCTGAGTTTTAAACAACATCTGATAGTTGATATTTTAATTTCTCATCACCTCTCTGCTTGAACATGAATTGATCTTGTCTGGAAAAATTCCTTTTTTGTCACTCCTTGGGGAGAAAAGGCTTTGTAGCAATGACTCCTGTATGCTTGGCCTATATCAAGCTAAAGTCAAACTGCAGCTCATTTCAGGCAGTTGTCACTTTTATGCTTTTTAAACTTTTTCAAACCAAAGGTTACCTTTATAATTCTATTGAATACACATTGAAACTATAGATGTAACTGGATTTCATGTTCAAAAATGGCTTGTACCATACCTAAACTAACAACAGACATGAAACACCTTGACCCAGTGACATTTCTTCAAATGAGGAGTCCATTTGATTGTAATAAAAGAATATTCTACAATGAGAGGTTTGAAGTTTGTCATGTGACATCCCTAGGAACAAAAAGAGGGGGGTGTGGAAGGGGTGGGATGAACTTCATCTTCAGATCAGCTGCCATGGAGGCAATTTCTTCATCCTCTTTTTCAAACAACTTGATAGCATGAGTAAATGTCAGAGAACCTAAAGCAGAAACAAATCAATAGACCACTTAGTTGACTTATTTTAAATATGTATCTATATCTATTCCAATCAACCACTCAATGTTTGATTTCTAGCACAAAATGCACATAAATACTATGGTTCTAGGCAGAGCAACTTTAATAGTTCCCAAACATTAATTTGCTCTTCCTGTAGATTAGTGCTTAAGATTCAGGATTAATTGACCTGGCCGGCAGTTTTTCTTAACAAAAAAAATTTTCTCTGAAGACAATCCAGTGAATGTCATTTCTGGTGATTAGGAGGTAAGGGTGGAAATGGACCAAGTGACTAAAGGGTAACAGAGGAAAGTGCCTTTTTTTTCTTTTTCATTTCTGCCACTACCCGTTTCCCAGGAAGCTACTACAGAGTTACCTTGATCTCCATCATCAGAGAAGCCATGACACTTAATCACCTCTTTCTGAATCTCTGCAGCAAATGGCAGTCGTTCTTGGAGCAGCTTTACCAAATCACTATTAGCCTCCTGTTCAATTTCTTGCATTTTAGCTTTGTTTTGTGGCTTGTCAAATGCTTCTAAAATTTCTTTCATAGCAGCTGAATAATATGGATGACACAGTTGTTTAGGATAATGATACCTAAACACTCATCGGTATCCCCTTTTACCAAAGGGAACAGTGCTTTGGAAGTGGGAGACTGAGTGGAAGTATAGCCTCATACCACATTATGTATTCAGTTCTTGAATAGAGAAAACAACGACAAAAACAATACATTGCCCTTGGGAAAACAGATTTGTTTTACAATATTATGGGGCTGTGCTATGCCTCTTAGCATATAATTAGTCCTCAGGCTCTGTTTCCTACCTGCACGATTTCGCTCGGTTTTGGAACGTGTGATCATGAATGTTTTAACTTAGCGCTTAAATAGAAAAAAATCATAACCTGTTGACACCATTCTAAGCGTTTCCGATCACTATGTGAAGTAGTTTACATAGCTAACAGGGACGTAAACAAAGCAAAATGACTTAACGAGCCGATCAGAGGCCGTATTTAGCAAGACATCTCACTTACAGCTTTGAAAGATTGTACTGATAAAACCAAAATATAGTTAAATGATTATGTCACCTTTAACTTGTTCCACCGTCACATTCGACAACCGATTTTGAGCCATCGTCAGCGAATCTCCATCAACAAAGCAGGTTCCTCGAGGTACACGGGATCGCTTAAAAACTGACCACCAAAAATAGCATATCGGCTTCCTCCATTACGTCACATCCGGTAAGAAAAGTTATAAAGTGCGCGGTACCTCAGCTAGACATTTGTATTGACACGAGAGCGATGGCTAGTAGGTTAGTCAGGCCCTCTCTTGATTATAAGCAATTTAAATGATTTTATCCCGCTTCTGCGTGGTTTGTTTTACGGCAGTGGACTTGCTTCATAATTCTAATTTTATTTCGCTCGCGTTTCAGCTCTCAGACGATAAAATGTTCTCATCATCCAGAGGCTCCGTTGATCGAAGATTATCGAGCGGGAGATATGATTTGCTCTGAATGCGGTCTTGTTGTCGGAGATCGGTAAGCTTAAAAATATGATAAAATCAATAACTGTCGTCATACCTACATTTTTGTTACTCTCTAAGAGAGCCGTAGATTCCTTAATGCTTCCTTTATTTCTCAAAGCGATTGAGCGAAAGGAATGATAGAACCTTCGCTGATAATGTTGAGTTAACGTGTCTTCTTATCGGATCAGTTTAGGAAACACTCCTACTTCGAAATCTGTTCCTTTATGTCGTTGCTATTTCTTGCTTTCATATATATCTTTTTATGTAATCAGAAACGTTTTAATGTTTCCTCCAATTAATAAAACATCGTTGTTGTGACTAAAGTAAAACTCTGCAAAGCGGTTAATATCGATTCGAGAGAATTCCCAGCGCATCAGCATGTGATCTGGTGTTATGCTGACGTCATCTGCTATACAAGGAAGTTACAGCAAATTAAATTGAGAGAGGGATATTTTATATTGGAATATTGTGTTTCAAAGCAACAGAGGCTGATACCATTCAACCACATCACACTGAATCTAAAGAATACCCCTCCCCCTTTGTTTTCCTTCATTTCATCAAAGCATGCTAGCAACTTATGCCTTGGTGGTCCTGTGCATGTTAGCTTCTCTTAGTCAGCTGATTTATAGTGCAGAAAAATATTTAAATGCACTGAGATATCAAAAAAATCTTTCATTATTTTATTACAAATTTTTCAAAATTTGTTTGTGATTATGATGAAAGTGAGGCATCTTATCAACATAATAAACTGCATCATTCCATTTATTCCAATTGTCTCTCATACTTTGTGGTTTTACAGGAGGTCAAAACTGTGCTTATAACAAAGGGATGTATACATTAACTTGGCTAAAATAATTTTAGTTTAACTATTATTTTGGCTTTTTTTTCTCCTTTTATGTAGAGTGGTTGATGTTGGCTCAGAATGGCGAACATTTAGTAATGAGAAGGCTACCAGTGATCCCTCTCGTGTTGGAGCAGCACAGGTAGGACAGCATATTATAATCACATGAGAATGATTGTAGGATGGTTTTTTGATTGGGAAATTACTTTTACACTATTTGTTGCTGGTATGCTAAAGACCATTTTCAAATTTGATTGGCGCAAGCATAGCTTTTAAGCTATAGATCATAATCCACGGGAATGGCTCATGATTGGACTCTTTTTTGGAGACTGCAAAGCAGCAAGAGTTCTACATTTTGACAGGCAGTCTGTAGTTTAATGTCTTGCATTATATGTGGGTGATGAAAAATTATTCAGTATAAAGTTAGGGTTAGAAGCCATATTGTTGATACAATTGATATTTTGGCAATGAGAGGGAAAGAAATTTCAAAAGGAGCCTATGAGAACCCCAAATGAAAATAAGATTACTGCCTGAAGGGCAAGAAAATGCAAAAGAGCAAGTCATGATATGCTTTACTTTTGCTTCTGAATAATTGAAATCATGGTACAAGTTTGCTAGACAAATCATGCGGCAAAGTAAAGCAAAACCCATGTAATACCAGGTTTACCTTGATCTTTAATGAAAATATCTCATACATGGTAAATTTCTATTTTTTAGAATCCATTATTAGGTGGAGGAGATCTGTCAACAATCATTGAAAGAGTCCCAGTGGGAAACAGTGAAACAGATGGATACTCCAAATATCACAATAGAGGCGGGGTGAGTTCCCTTTGAAATTACAGGGCAATGTTAATTCGTCCTTGCCATACCATCATCAAGGTCCAATCAAACAGTTAAGGACTGTAGAAGCTTCATGAATTCACTATGGCCTTTTAACATTTTTTCATTTCTTTCTTCTCCTCATTCATTAAACTTAGTTGACTGGTTCGGACAGAAGTCTCATGAATGCTTTTAGAGAAATTGGTATCATGGCTGACAGGATAAATCTACCCAGGAAAATAGTGGTAAGCCATTTTGTTCAAAACAAGTCAATCAAATCAATCAGTGGGGTATTTCAGATTAAGGTGCTGACAGTTTACCAGTAGTCCAAAAGTAAGGCCTCTAGCATATAAAAATTTCTCCTCCAGTAATTCAGTTATTAAGCAGCAGCACAATGGTAATTCTTAATTTATCTACTTAACATACCTGATAGTGCAGGCAAATTCCAATCAGAAGATGATGTTTGACCTATATACTGGAAAAATTATTTTCTCAAACTTGAGAGTTTGGATCAATACCAGTATCTGGGCAACTGCCCACCTACCCTTCCCCTAATCCAATATTAACCCTAACTTGTTATCAATTGACTGTTGTTGGGTTAGGGGAGGGGTAGGTGGGCAATTGCCCACATACTGATATTGATCCAAGAGCTTTTTAAGTTCTGATCATTATATTAAGTGGCTTTTGTAGTGAGGTTTATTTGTGTCCTATTTGAAATGGTTTCATTCCTAACTCTCAATTGAAGAAAGCAATTTATTGCTGATTTCTCTTGTTCCTTAGGATCGGGCAAATCAATTGTTTAAACAAGTTCATGAACAAAAGAGTTTAAAAGGGAGAAGTAATGATGCCATTGCTTCTGCTTGTTTGTACATTGCCTGTCGACAAGAGGGTGTGCCTAGGACATTTAAAGGTAAAACGATTCGTCTGTATGTATCAGCCTGGATTGACTAAAATGGTTTTCTCTAACAGCATCGATACATTCTCAAGCAAAAACGTCACGAGGCTTAAAGAATTAACCTGGGAATATTGTTTGATTTAACAAGTAATTGTCAGAGCTTAAACAAGGGACAAGGGTGTAGCTAGGGAAGTCTGGGGTGCCCGTAATCCCCACCTCTCCCGTTTGTAAGCTTTTTTAAGCATACAACCGCAATATTCAGGCGGTAAAAACTGGTGAGTACCCTCTGTTTGACACAGTGTGATCCTCCTTTTAAATAATCATATCTACGCCCCTGTCTGTCCACACAAGTTGCTCATTTGCTTTTTAGCGACAAATCAAAAATTTGTATTCCACAGAAATTTGCGCTATCAGCAAAATTTCGAAAAAGGAAATTGGCCGTTGTTTCAAACTGATACTTAAGGCCCTGGAGACAAGTGTGGACCTCATAACAACAGCAGATTTTATGGTGAGTTTAAACACCTTGAGAACATGGAGGAAGTCCTTCCACGTGTTTTTACTCATAACCCTGACCTGAGAAAAGGAAAAGAAAATTAGTTTCGAAAAAATTGCCTTCAGAAAGGCAAGGTTATGTAACGAACCTTGACTCACCTACCTTAAGAAACTGAATTCTCTTTAGGATTTCTGTCATCCCCGTTCTGCGAGAAATATGTAAGACAAGACAAGTATTGACGGAGCTGCGTTACAGTCAGTCTGTCAAAACTTACCTCTTCCTTTTCTCTTTATCTCCTCCTTGAATGAGATAGACCTCCACTCAGTTTAGTGTAAGCTCACTGATCAGCTGATCAACGCGCTCCTTCTGCCTATTTAACAATTTTTCCATGAGCGCGTGTTGGAGATGAGATGGTAAATTGGCTGTTATCAATCTCGTATCCAGCAAGTGTGAATGGAACGACATTTTTTATTAAATTTCATCAAATCTCGAACGTTTGGATGTTTGAAGCTTTTTTCAGCTCCGCAACAGCATTTCAATATGAGATGACTCGGTATATGAGCCGATAACCAGGTTGATTGCACCAATCAGAACACTAGAAATTCAATATTAGGAGTTGAAAATGAAATAAACTCTCATAACAAACTACGGTGCACGTCCCTAGTTAATTAATTTTTCTCGGCTTGTGATCTTTGCCAGTCGAGGTTTTGTTCCAATCTTTGTCTTCCACTTGACGTACAAAAGGCTGCTACACATATCGCACGGAGGGCGGTTGACTTGGATTTAGTGCCGGGGTAAGTCTTCATTATAACTGACTCAACGTTCGTTTATGATACAGATTGATGTTGGTAGGGAAGCATGTAAGCTATTTGCGCAGAATTATTCCCTACGTGGTTTAGATTTCCAAAACAAGTCTTTGCGAGTGACAGAAGAGAATATCGTAGCGAGAAATGAATTTTCGAAATTATTCTTAGGGCTTAAAGGTAAATGCTAATCGAGTTCGAGATTGAATTCAATTATCTTCGTTGTCTTTTATTTAACCCTTTACACTCTAACATCAGTATGTATATTCTCCATACTGTTCTCTAAGATGCAGACATGAAAAATTTGTGTAACAATCAAGAACCTCTTTCGTCGGTAATCAGTTCCTCAATTCTCCTGACCTTAATGTTTGATCCAGGAGTAATATGGTGAGGAGAAATTAGATGCCAGTCATTCTAAGGTGTTAAAGGGTTAAGAAGCTATATACTATTTGCACGGATAAACCAGTTTTTATCTGTTAATTCTCTACTATTTTGAGAAAACCCTGCGGTGGTTATGGCGTCGTTCCTATTTTCCTATAACCAATTATTTTAATTTTCTTTTCTTTCCCTTTAGTCGAAGTCCCATTTCAGTGGCGGCTGCTGCAATTTACATGGCGTCTCAAGCATCTGAGACAAAGAAATCACAGAAAGGTTTGAATTCTCTATTGTTCTTAATAAATGTTCATTAAATATTTCTGGACTAAGCTGTACTGAAATCTAACGAAATTTTAGAGGTAACCTTGGATCTGTAAGAATCCTATATGCTAGGGAGTAATATTTACTTCACGGTAAAACGCTTTTCGACTGGATGTCGTAAACCAAATTGACACCAGGGGTCAATCAGACGGAAAGAACGTATCACAAGGGACCAATCAGAACTTAAATTAAATACACGTAAGCAGCGGCAGAAGCGCGGAAAGTTGGCGATGTCAAAGACGTCCAATCAAAAATTCTTGTAACATGCAATGTTGATTGTTAGCCATTTGATTCGTGCTGAAAGTAAGTGCTAGAGGCAAAACTTTGGAAATCAGCACAGCTTCTCTGGCATCCTTAAACACCACACATCGGCTCTGACATGCTTGCGATTACCTGACGTGATTGCGTTTGTATTTCCTTTGTAGAAATCGGTGACATCGCTGGTGTAGCGGACGTTACGATTCGTCAATCGTACAGACTTATCTATCTACGTGCAGCAGAACTTTTTCCGACTGATTTCCATTTTACTACTCCCGTGGACAAACTTCCGAACCTTTGATCTTTGTGACATCTTTCCTCCGTTTTTGATGTTTAGATGTTATTTATTTGAACAATAATTCTTTGGTTTGTTAACAAAACACATATTTGTAAAATTTAGTCCATTCCATTGTTCATGAAGTTTAGTATTCAACAAAAAAAAATTTACTCGTAGGAATTGACTCGTTATTGAACGTAGCAGTTGCTTTGGGTTACTAAAAGAAGCCACAGGCAAAGCTTGGTAAGATCTGAGCAATATTTCAGGAAACGAATTGGCTAAATTACTAACGAAAACGGCGATGAATTACGCTTCTTCCTGCAGAATTCATTTCAGTAATCGATGAAGAATCAGTTCCAGCGTCAACGTATATGAGTACTGAGTTTCGACTAGACTAATAAAATTTTCGAACTTCTAGGATCGAATGAGGTTGACGCCAAAGAAATTTGTTATTTTAGTCAACCTTACTTCGAATCTGTAAAATTTTCAAATTAATGCTTAGGATATTTTCGATTATCCGCTTTGAAATTGCTACCCGTTTTGTATTGTACAGATGAAGTGGATCTAAAGAGAACAAGACGCCTAAAGGCGTTTCCGTGGGATGCGTTGGCTACTGAGCGTAGCATTAAAAGGAATTGTGCAGTTGCAGTAAACTACCATGATTAGTCAGTTAGATCAGCCGAAGAAATCATTGTAGAAAATTTTAGTGTTGAAGAAACCGTGACTGTTTTTGTAACTGAAAATAGCGAAGAGTGGCAGCTCAAAAACCTTTGGATTTTTCTGGAACAAACTGTAACTCCACCCACTGATCTCCTCGTCTCATCACCTGTTTCATCCCTCCTAATAACAACTGCTCGGTAAAAACAATTTCCATCTCCACTGTTGTTTATCAAAAACGTCAGTAAGTACGTTAACAGGCTATATACACTTTGGTACAAGTAAAAGACTGTACTGAGTTATTTTCTAGCGATTTGTCGTTGATGTTGCGATATTTTGGCACCTTGGTGCGATGTCAATTTCGATAGAAACCTTACGCAAGGTGAGAGGTTAATCGGTAGATTTAAATACATATTTCATGGTTAATCACACAAAAACGTACGCTTCCCTCGAAAAAACACAACCTAAAGTAATGAATATGGAGTAAGGCAAAACAGCACACACACAAAAAAGAAATCGTTTAAAGCAACACAACATGTCAAATAAATTCAACAATCTCCTTTATCTAATCAAAGAATACCTATGGCCATTTCGTACATAAATTACTTCATCTCTAGATGAAACATGTTTGTCAAATTGTAATTATTGGTTGGAGAGATTGACCATGAAATAGAGGTTAGCTGTGCATAACGAGGCAAAGAGAGGGTCAGAATACGACATTGACAACACAATTTCTATCTTACTGTTAACTGAAATAAGAAGTTCTTCGAACATAAATTGAAGGTCGTCCAGTGCACACAGATAGGTTCCATCAGAGAAAGCATGTTTCAAAAATTAAAGTGTCTTATAATTCCAATAGGCGTGTTAGGTTCTGAGTGGAATGGGAATCTACTCGTGTGTATTGGACATGTATGGTTAACGAACCTCTATAATATAATTTATGATATCATGAACCCGATTCAACTGACGAGAACATGGAAATAAGTCTACAAGTCGAGCTGCTCTCTTTCTTTGGAAATCACGTGGTTTTCACGAACTGAAAGAAAAATTCATTGGTCACAAATATTTTTGTAGCAAATCATGCCTCAAAGTGGTTCATTAATTCACGAACTGGCCCTATCACGCGTCACGCCCAACCCTTTGCCGCCCACGTCTAACTATCCACGGTTCACATGCGGTACTCGAGCCAAAAAAGAAACTTTTTTTTACATGGTGACCCCAGCGTAAATGGGAGTGACAATATCCTCGTCTGCCATCTCTAAAGTCCTTTTCATAACAAGCAAGTATTCCTGCACAATAAAATTTTAGTTTAGTTATCAGTTGGATAGTTCACAGACCTCTGCCTCTTCGCACCCTGTGGAAGCCCAGGAAATCAACGATTTTCATCAAGGGAAAAGGGATGATCAAAAGACACGGAAGTCATCAAAGTTATTATCGTGACAGAGTATGGACTGGAATTTTGAGTTTGATGGTACTTGACTCCATTGACATCATTGTGTGGTTTATATATATATGTAGCCTACAACTTCACCCCACACTGTTGTTTCGGTTGCTTCCGACCAATACGGAAAACTCTACGGAGCAGGAAATCTTTCCGATATATTTTCTCTTTTCTTTCTACTAAAAGAATATCAATCATAATGAATTGATATTCTTGTCTCCAGCTACTAGCACCATTTCCACCATGCCAACAGTTTCTTGTGCGTAGATGTAGAACCCAGACCTCAACTGAACAAATATAGCATAAGAAGAGCCGAGGATCACGCCTTCTTCGCCTTTATGTGACGCGCTTCGTTTCATTGCATATCTCTACAAATCGAAATGGCTTTTGGTTACTGGGATGAAGAGTCGGATAGAACTCTCATTATCGAACATCCATCATTTCATTCGTTGTTGATTGTTTGACATCGTTAACTTCACATGCTACCAAAGGTATGCAACACGCGTTAGGTCATTGGTGGTAATAATAACTTACATCAAATTAGTGTAAATAAAATCTATTGGTTGCATGCTAACCACTAGTTGAGGACACTTTCGAAAATTCTATGGCAAGATTTCAGTGGAACCTCATACTTCATCATACACACAATTTGTTAAGAGAAATCAATTATGGTAATAATTATAGTTGACCTTTAGCTGTACTGCTTTGTTTTGGCAAAGTACGTTGTTACCCGCAAATCTTTCCGTACCCCGCGTCACATTCCCTAAATGTGATGGCCCCTTAGTTTTTTATAATTGGGATCATACGGAGAGTCGGTTACGTTCTTGTCAAGGTGTTTGTCATGATTGTAGCACCTCAGCAAACAGTTATGCGCTTTTAAAGTGGAGCCATAATCAATATTATTCAGGTACAGCTTGTGGCCTTAACATTTTTCTTCCATATAATTTTGCTGTGGAAGGCAAACCAAGAAGGTGTTTTATCTCCTAAAGCCTCTACCTGAAGATGTTTTGTCGTCTCTGTTCCTCAAACAAGTGAAAATAAATTGAATGAAGAAAATAGTACTATATTTGAAAGGCTTTCATGTGGGCTCCTTATTTGGTTACTGGCTATTTGGTTGTTGGCTACTTTGAGTGTGGAATACGTGATAAAATGCAGGTTGTTTACAAGGAATTGACAGGTGGGGTGACATTTAAGGTAACTGACAATGAATTTGATTGATAGAAAATGTTTAAGCACATGAGAACTGTATGGAAAATTGACTTACCATAGCATTTACATCTGAGTGAAATTAATTTTTTTAGGAAAGTACCATTTAAAAACAAGATGTAATTCATGGAAAACATTTTAAAGCAGTTTAACATAGCAGTTTTTACCTGAGTCAGCAAACCTGGCCCTTCCAAAACAAATGATCCAGTGGTAATTTAGTGTTAGGCCTTAAGCAGATGGCATGTGCATTGAGCGAAGAAACTGTACAGAAAACACATTTTAAATGGTAGAAAAATTCCCTGATAATATTTCTAACCACAACAGATCATAGTGACAAAGTCATCATGAGAAACAGAGAGATGTGAGCTCTGGGTAGATGAGCTCACAATTCTTTGTTAAAATGTCACTCTTGGTGTGTGTCAATGTTGGGTTAATTTGATGGCAACATATTGAGGTGCCTTAATTTCATGACATGATTGGCATGAGAGACAATACACTGATTGGTGCAATCATACTTCAATGCTGTGATCTGATTGATGGGAGATAAATACCCTCATGCAAAATTCTGATTAGTGTGAGATACATACCCTATTGCAACTATGTGCCTGGAGTGAGCAATTTACCACAAAATGTGGCAACACAGAGTTTTTTTTTACTAAAAAAAAATAACTCAATAAGGACTGTTAACGCAATTAGGGGTTTTTTATGTCCTACAAACAAATACCTATGGGTACTGCAGAGAACTTATGATCCAAGGAGGTCATAGAGGTTGCCAAGTTCAGTTGTGATACAAGCATCCAACCTGTCTTCAAAATAACTTAATTTAGTTTGATTTCAATTTGAATTGTAGTCCATTGGTACAATATTGCTAATTGTTATCCTAATTTGCAAGCCCACATTGGGTTTTTTTTGGACCCATAATGACAATTTGAAACTAACTGCAACTATGGAACAGTCCCATGAATGTATTAATGACTTCACTAAAATGCAGTCCAAATGGTTTGGTGACAAGGCAGACACTCAAAAGATTGGGTGTCCTAGGTTACTTTCGATATGATGTCCTTATCAAGTGCTTTTATTGGTGTCTAGATGAAAATATGTGTGGCTTAGCCAGAAAAAAGGATGAAAAAAGCTTTAACTGGAGATACCAACCGGTTTTACTTTGGTGGATTTAATTTTGAGTACCACCCCTTCAAACACCTTCTCCAATTTTCTAACCCAAGTCTCTTATGGCTCGTTGCTAGTCAGGGCTTCCAAGCATCTATAAAACTGCCAGCTACTATTTCACGTGCAGTCACTATGATTATAACGGTCACCTGAACAACAGATAATACAAGTGATGAACATACAAAATATTCATTTAATTTTTTTTTCATTTATTAAACTACAAGACTATGTGCTGATATATATCAAACATGATTTTTAAATCAAGAATGAGTGTATGAAGAAGCATTGAAGTGATTAAGTGGCCGATGTGTTGACTAGCTTTTTTCAACTTTTTAAAGCTTTTTACAGTTAGAATGAGCT